GCAAAAAAAAAAAATCGAGATTTTTACAAATCTCGACGTTTTACACCTCACTGATACGGAAAAACATAATTTTGCAATCTTGTCCGTATGTCTGTGTGTCTGTCTGTGTGTCTGTCTGTCCGTGTGTAAACACGATAACTTGAGTACCGTTACAGCTAGGTTGATGAAATTTCATATATAAGTATTTTATCAAAATCGTAGATCCGTATCAACTTTTGAGCGATTTCCGATAACCGGAAGTGGTACTTTTCCTACTTTGAATTTTTCAAAAGCCTATAACTTGAGTACTATTTCAGATAGATAAATGAAATTTCACATGTAAGTAAAAGATCTAATTCTCTACCTTCTGTTAAATTTTGAGTAATTTCCGTTGACTGGAAGTAGTAATTTACACTACTTCCGATTTCTCAAAAAACTAATGTAAATTTTAAAAGTACTAATAATATTGCGCACTATTATGCGCTTTTTTATTTGCGTTCACTTGGTGTGCAATTAATTTGTCTACGAGATTTTATTCTATTTTTAAAACTTTAAGTATTTAAAATGGATTAAAAATCATGTCTATAGCCCGAGTTTCCATCCCCTGTTATTTTATATAAGAATATTCGAGAAAGTTTAGGGGAGATCACTCCCGGTTTATTTTTTATTAATTTTAATAAAGACGCAACGATTTATTTTAATTTAATTTTTCTTGTATATTTTTCTTTTCACCATTATGCATTTGTTATAAAACTAGTATAAAAAATTGGACTTTGGCACATATAAACATGTTAACACGCGTACATGTCACATGACATTCACGTTCCTCCTCCAGGTTTTTGCCTTGTCACGTATTTAATAAAGGAACTCTTGGATTTTCTATACGTCTTTCTTTCTATTCTATAAAAGTTTCTATCTATTATCTCTAGATGTTGATTTCACATGTAGTATAACCCACACTTCAGTGATGACAGTATCCGTACATGTAGACGAGTACCATGTAGATCGTTCAATACCTAGACTCTAGCCTAGCCTGTATGGCCGTGTAGTTATGTTGTGTGGGCGCTGCCGAATCAATAGTTATGTTTTTTTTTTAACTCCGGAAAGAAAAGAAAAAAATAATGTTTTTTTTTTTGTTTTTTAAATCCGTCTCAAATGAGTTTACCACCGAGTTTTGTATTACGTTGACACGTTTTGTCATCGGTAAATGGTCTGGGTTGTGTAGCTCTAAGTTAAGTTGGAAGGAAGGGGGGGGGGGGGTGCTGTCTAACCCGGTCAGCACTATGTAAAGTAAAACGAATTCTGTGGTTGGGGGGGGGGGGGGGGAGATATCCATAATTGACATCACGCCTTTTTGGCGATTTATACCTACTTACCGTCACACAAAATCACAAAAAGCCTAAGCTCACCACCCCCCTCCCACACACACATACACAGATACACTAAAATGATATTAGTCTACAACGCCCTCAGAATTGCAGAATTTTTTTTAACATTGATTTCTCGATATCTTCCTTCAATATTGACTGCGCTCGGTCAACATACAGTATATTAATCAATTTCTATTACAATTTACCAAAACAGTTGTCTAGCTAGTGCCATAGGCGGCTAAAATTCAGTTTCTAATATTACTGTGTTACTGTATTTAAATGCAAAAGTGTCACAATTCCCCCTCATCACACTCTGTCACAAAATTACGATCTTCCCTCTCCGTCCAGGAATGTGACTTCATTTATGGACGACCCCCATTCACCCATTTTGACAAGATATAATATATGGGACTTAAATTGTGTAGGTGAAATAAGCTTTTTTCTGTCAAATAAGTCCATACATTACATGGAAAATTATGATTTGTGTATCGCCAAATAGAGTCGTTGAAGTATGTGTGTAATGAGCTGTTACGTGAATGGTGTGAGGAAATGTTATTTAAAGGTGTGCGGGGTGGGCAAAAAAAATTGTCCCAATTCTGTGCTAAATTTTTACGATCCCTGTGGTCCATTGCAGTGCTATAGTGTGAGTGAAATTTGGGTTACTCTTCTACCCCCCCCCCCTCATTCACACCTGTCGTCTCATACCCCCACCCTCAGCCCTCCCCGCTGTTCATAAGTTTTTGTAGGATCCAAATCTTCGACTGCTGGTGGCTATTTTGATTCCCATCGACCTGTACTACTTTTGAAGAACCATCTACTTCCTGTGTGCCGCTGAGCTAACTCCATTGACATTAGGCAGAGCCTTTAGATCTGTGCGTCTACAAGGGTCGGTTTCTATTTGTAGAACAAACGTCACACCCGGGTACTATAAATAGCCCCGTAACGAGGCGACGTCTAGTTTTGAGCAGTGCGTTTTCTAATCGTTCTGCGGGCTGTTCAATTATGTCTATAAATGCTCTCTCTTTACGTCATTGGGATGCAGTCTTACAAGATAATGATAGTGCGCTGGTCTGTTCTCTTGTTTTAAAGGGTATCGTTTGTCTTCTGTAAAAGAAAAAAAAAATCTGTTGCGTTTAATGTTAACGTTCGCATGCAACAATGGTCGCTCACAAGTGGTCTTATCTTTAACAAGTTGGACAACTCTGAAAAGTTTAGTTCCTCTGGAGTTGCCTCCCGTAGATTTATTTGTATTTCACCGATGAATGTCGTACAAGACAGGCCGCCTTTGTTGAGCAACTTCCTTGTGTAAATATTGTTTGTGTGTGGGAAAGCGACTGGTGTTGAGTGATCCCTATCACCTCTAGATCACGACCTTTTGTCATGATCTGGACATGTACATGCTAGCTAATGCATACATTGACCGTATCGGTGTAAAAATGTTGCCAGCAGTATAATTTCATATCGAAGCATATTTCTCAATTGGTATTGCACTTAGTCAGGATTGGGACTAGTGTTTCTTTCAGACTTGTGTTTATGGGGGTGGGGGCGAACTCTGGTAAAAGTATGGAATAATATTTTCTATATAAATTCTATTTCGTTCGGGTTAGGGGGTGGCAGTGCCCCCGAAGAGATGCCTTAAGGATAGACTGATTAGGGCAGGGGCGTGGCCAGGTTTTCATGGTATTTGGTACGAGAGTGTATAAAATAACGCTAACATTATTACTTTATTACCAAAGCTTATTTCTAGGTTTCGTTCAATGTTAATTAGAATTTTTACTGAATGAATATACGGATGGAAAAAAAAAGCGTTACATTACTTGGAATGGTATCAGGGGGAACGTTAGCCCCCTCTGCTTCCCTACTGACTACGCTTCTGGGTTAGGTTCAGCATAAAAGAGTTAGAAAATGGCTGAGGAAAGTTATACGGGGCAAGAACAAAAGTCGTATAAAGTTATGCAGATGTTTTAATAATTACGTTTGGTCGTTTGTGTATCGATCTTCAAACATTCACTGATAAATAGCCGTTAGTTCTTAAACACCGATATATTTTCATTCATTGAGCAAGATTTTTTTAAAGACTTTTAAAAAAAAAAAACGGCCCTGATGTCTCCTCGGCACGGAGATAGGAAAAAAAAACGTATTAATCCGCCGTGTTCTGTCAAGCACCAATTTACACTCAACAGATCGCAGTTAGATAGGGCTTATGGCAGATTGGCCGTTGCCGACCCCCACCCCCCTCACCCGCCTCACTTTTATCTCCAACGTAAAAAAATGTCTTCTATAAAAAGAAGAAATCGTTTTTAAGTGATTTTTCGATGGAATAATCAAATCGGCAGCTGGTTTTAAAGTGGGTGGCTGTGTGGTTCGTTGGGTGCATGACTTTTTTCTTAGGCGAATGGGATGGGTACTGAGATCAGCTGGGTCAAGTGGATGGTGTCATGTAGATTACAGGTGTATTGAGTGGTGTCACGCTGTAGACAATAATTGTATTGGGCGGTGTCACAGTGAAGATAAGTTGTTATTGGGTGGTGTTATAATATAGATTGCAGGAGTGATGTTATCTTAATAGAAATCACTTGTATTCAGTGGTGTTATGTTTTAGATTACAGGAGTGGTGTTATAGTAGTAGATACCAGTTGTATTGAGTGGTATGTTATAGATTACAGGAGCGGTGTCATGTTAATAGAAATCACTTGTATTGAGTGGTGTTATGTTATAGATTACATGAGTGGTGTCATGTTATAGATACCAGTTGTGTTGAGTGGTGTTAAGGTAGTAGATTACAGTTGTATTGAGTGGTGTCTTGTTTTAGATTACATGAGAGGTGTTATAGTAGTAGATACCAGTTGTATTGAGTGGTGTTATGATAGTAGATACCAGTTATATTGAGTGGTGTCTTGTTATAGATTACATGAGTGGTGTTATGGTAGTAGATACCCGTTATGTCTGGTTGTAGACTGCTTAATTGGATGGTGTACTTAGATGTAATTACATGTGAAATTACTCAACCAACTGAAAGGTTTCACTTCATGCCAGCAAATCTATTTCTAGCACAGTCATGTGATTAAGCCATTAGTAGAGAGCAATCAGTCACGTTTGTTATGGGTTCAGTGAACCAAACTAACTTTTTTTAGAATTTGATCTCCTAAGTTGGTGTTAATTTTGTTTTTTGTTAAAAAGTTCTGAAAATTTGAAATGCGAATAAACAGATATTATCCTACCAGTCTAGCCCACTATTTCATGTTGACTTTTATAAAAGAGTCGTTTTGCATAACATGTTTCAGAGATCCAACAATTAGTTTGCCTCATTATCAGGAACATTATAATGAACAATTTATTTTATAATCCATATTTGTATTCAGTTAAATCTGTTAGATAACTTTTTCAACCAAAGTATCTTTGTAATTATCATTGACTAAACAAGTTTTGGGAAATATTCCATAATTAAAAGTTCTTCAAAAATAGACTCGAAAAATCTGAATTATACCTAATTTTTTTTATATAAAGTATTCATATTTAAACAACCTTAATAGCTCAGAAATACAAAACTGTTAACTGATTTTCACACATGTTTTGTTTAAATTAATGATATGGTTATTGACTTAAAGTTGATAGAAACAAGCTAACTGTAACCCTAACTGTGTTGAGCAGGTACTACCAGATACAGACTGTCCTCAAGACACCCCCCAAGTCACCAGCCAGGGTTGAAGTCAGTGACAACAAGCTCAACACATTGAAAGGTAAACACCGACCCATCATCATCATTGTTCCTATAGACCCCATGGTAAACATAACAACACAGCCACACCCCTCCATCTTACTCTATTGTCTCCAAGTTGGGCTCATGACATTGGGCTGCTTGTGTTTCACTCACGACAGATCTTTTCTTAGCTTATGTTGGACTACCAATTATTCTCTTTCCTTTGGGGATTCCAATCTAATGACTATCTGGTGATGTTGTTTGTTGGTTTGTACTGGGTGTGTCCAGTCCAACACATTGACCTGTGTTCACATAAATCACATATGTTGGCATAGATCTAAGAATGGCATGCCTTCAGTCTGTACAGTAATATCTTAAGTTGCTCTTCTAAGGGATTGTTTTTTTAAGATATCAATGAAAATGTGTTTTTTGAAACATGGATTTCTGATCCTTAACTTTGTTTGGTAGCTGTGAGTGTATTCAGACTTGGTGGACAAATAGATCAAATGAAGTAGAGTTTACCTGTTTCTGTAAAGGGATAGTGTGGTCAGTTCTTTGCCCAGCTTCCTTTACTTTCCCCACCATGAGTCAGGTACCCATCTGCGCTGGGTGGGCTCAGCAGTCTCACTACATCTAGCCCAGGATCTGAACTCTAGGCTTTTAAGTTAGCAGTGTCCAATTTCTGTGTCAGCTCTATTTTTAACTTTTGTTTATATACATTTTAGCTGTTTAGGTTTTTGCTTGCTCTCTCTGACAGGTAACTATGACTCTCATCATTGTTTTACATATATTGTTTTTAATTTATGCCTCAGGGACTTCAGAAAACACAGCAGCTTTTATTCAGAGCTCCATTGGGAAGAGCCAGAAGTTCCAAATTCTCTACAGGAATGAGGAAGTGGAGGTTGCGGACATCTTTATATACAGAATACATATGCTGGTTGAAAGTTCAAAGGTCAGGGTTTGTTGGTTTTGTTGAACTTAAGCATCCTGTAGTGTTATCATTCAATGAATCTACAGATGTACCCCCTAGTTTTCTATGGATTGTATTTGTTGTTATATGGCTTTTTATGATAACTTATGCATAGACCAGTTGTTGTTTTCTGAAGGTTGAATTTGTTTAATCACTGTATTTCTTGCCAGTAATTGATCTGTAACAAGCTTATCATGTTATGCAATATTTACTTATGTGAGTCAACATGTGCTAATTGTTTTTAAAACGTTTTTTTTATGGGTGTGGAAGAATTTAAGAATGAGATGTTTTTTCCTGTTAGATAAAAATGTATGGTTATAGATTAGTTTGGACAAAAACTTTTCCAATTTCATTTCAAGGGATAAAAATAATATATTGATGTATAAGTTAATTTATATAAGAAAAAATGTTCAATTCCGTTTAGAGAAAAATGGGTACGTTGAGAGATTTATTAAGGCAATATGTGATTCCAATAAGGAAAAAAAAATATATTCAAGGATTTTATAAAAATTATTTATAAAAATAAAATATTTTTGATTTTCCAGTTAGAAAAAAATTTAGAGAACTTGGACCTGAGACTGGAGATTCAACTGTGGTGTAATGACGAAGATGAGGCGTAAGTAGTAGAGTTGGCTGTTAGGGCACTGGTTTCACATGCACATTCACCTAAACTTTTCTTAATAGTTCTATCAACTGCACCGACAAAATCCAATGGTGAATCATAAGTGTCGGTTGTTTGTCTTGACCTCTGGTGAACCAATGTGACTGATTCCCTGAACCCTGGGGTTCGATTGAACCCACTACTGTGGGGTATTATAGTACTTATATCAGTATCAGGGTTTGGCTTTGGAGTATTATAGTACTTATATCAGTATCAAGGTTTGGCTGTGGGGTATTAAAGCACTTATATTAGTATCAGGGTTTAGCTGTAATGTATTGTAACGCTTAAACAGTATCTGGGTTTGGCTATGAGGTATTTTTCATTAGACAGCAGGGCTTATAATTATATCAGTGCTGGCGCTTGCTTGTAGGGCATTGTACAGTACACCATGTAGCAGTTCTGCTACAACCTTTTTTTTTATTCCTGATAATTTTTCATAATGTAGGGAAAGAAATTAACATTATTCATGCCTGCATGCAATGCCTAACACTTGGAATTGAAATTGATTTTATTTTACTGCATTCAAGAAACATTTTGATTAAAAAGAGAAAAGATTTTAATAGGATTCTGACCAGCTTAAAATGTGATGCTGGCTACACATGGAGCTATAAATATTAGTTGAAGACAGGGTTCTTGCAAGGGCTCCAAACTAAGTGTAGAAAATACAGTGGGTTGCAGTCAGATGGGGGGGGTTGTTTTATTTTTAAAGTGCTTCAATGTGGAGTTATATTTGAATACATAGCCTAAAAAAAATAATATATGAGGAGATGGGTGAATATAGTTCTTCAGTGTGGAAGTAGATTTGAATACATAGCCTAGAGAAAACTGTATGAGGAGATGAGTGAATATAGTGCTTCAATGTTGAGGTAGATCTGAATACATAGCCTAAAAGAAATTGTTAATGGGGAGGTTAGTGAATATTGTGCTTAGAAATGTAGTAGATGTGAATACATAGCTTAGAAGAAACAGTGCAAAGAAGTAGTGCTTAGAAGTAACCAAAGTTTATTGATGAGGCTCTTACATTCCCTGCCTACATCACTTGATATTGATTCGCTCACCTTGATGATGAATAATTCACAACTGGCGCTATACCCAACACATTTTCATACCAGTGTAGTTAAAGAAATAAAGTTGCTGCAATTAAAGAAGCGATTAGTTTATGAATCCACTATAGCTGGAAAAAAAAACTATTAAATTTGCAATGCCAAGTTTTGCAATACACCTGATAATTAACTACTTTAAAAAGATATTAAAAAATTGTGTATATCTTGTCATTGCATCTAACAAACCAGAAATGTTGTATGGTAGGATAGTTTGACCATATGAGTAGTCTTTAAAACATAAATAAACAATAGGACAAAGATTAAACAAATTGTTTTCTAGTTATGTGTCAGCTGTTGTGCATTGATTGAACAGTTTGATCTTGTTGTCTTATTTGTTTTGTTGTTTTTTGCTAGAGGAGAGGGGACATTATTCATACACTCAGTACAACAGTTTCTTTCAGGCATATCTGCAGGGGGGGGGGTGTCACTGTGCCAGCTCTTCCCATCCCTATCCCAGAACAAAATAGAAAAAATACAGTTTATATAGAAAATATATACTATAACAAACCAAACCAGTGTCACCCCCCCACCCCCCTCTCCTCCTGGAATAAAATGTCTGAAAGAAACACTGTCATAAGCATTGTATCTATATATTGGGCTCAGTACCTGAACATTGAGTCTAATCTATCAAAGTACATTCTGTTGATGTGTGGTCCATACATGGGCTAACTTACCACTGAACAAAAGGTCCTGCCAGGATATTTGATTAAGTTCCTTTAAACATAAATACATCTGGCCTTTACACACAAGTCCAGTGGTTCTCAACCCTTTTGGAGAAACTCAACCCCACCAGTTTCATATGCCCATTCACAGAACTCGTCTTAATAGTTCTATCATCAGCACTGACAAAATCATGTAGTGAATCATACATATTAGTTGGGTGTGTGTCTTGGCCTCTGCAGACCCCTCGGACTGACCAAACCCCTGGGGTTTGATCAAACCACTGCACTTGACTGAAAGAAGCTAGGGTAGATGAGCTATGTTAGTGACACAATCCCACTGGTCATCAAAACATGAACACAGCACCATCCACCTTACAGCTTTAACCTTATAGAAAACTTACTTAAATACAGCTAGAACTAAGACCTCAACAGTTTCCATGTCTTGTAAAGACTTGTTCCATCCACCTTACAGCTTTAACATTATAGTAAACTTACTTAAATCCTATGACCTTAACAGTTTCCATGTCTTGTAAAGACTTGTTCCATCCACCTTACAGCTTTAACATTATAGTAAACTTACTCAAATCACAGATAGAACTAAGACCTTAACAGTTTCCATGTCTTGTAAAGACTTGTGGTGTAAGACTTGTGGTGTAAGTCTTGTGTTGACAGAGACTTGTGGTGTAAGACTTGTGGTTTAAGACTTGTGGTGTAAGACTTGTTGTGTAAGACGTGTGGTGTAAGTCTCGTGGTGTAAGTCTCGTGGTGTAAGACTCGTGGGGTAAGACTCGTGGGGTAAGACTCGTGGGGTAAGACTCGTGGGGTAAAATGTGTGGTGTAAGACGTGTGGTGTAAGACGTGTGGTGTAAGACATGTGATGTAAGACGTGTGATGTAAGACGTGTGGTGTAAGACGTGTGGTGTAAGACGTGTGGTGCAAGTCTTGTATCTGTGTGGTTGACAGGTCAGAGTCTGATGCCAAGATGGAACTGGCCAGTACCAGAAGTCTGCTGCTTCACCTGTCCCCCACCAAAGGGCTCCACCACTCACTCCCTGTGCTCTTTGACTACTTCCACCTCTCCGCTGTTGAAGTTGTTATACATGGTACCATCATAGCTATACATCAGCCTTACCTCACGTAAGTCTCTTATCATATACCTCACATAAGTCTCTTATAATATACCATAGCTATACATCAGCCTTACCTCACTTGTCTCTTATAATCTACCTCACATATCTATATATATAATTCTCTTCTGGGATCAGTTAGAAAACAAGCTGCAAGCGCCTCCTTGCAGTCCCCTCTCTTTCTCTCTATCACTATCACTACCACCCCCCCACCCCACCCCAACATTGTCTGGTGAGCGGTGTTCACTCTAAATTTTTACAAAGCTAAATGTTTACAAATCGAAGAGCCGTACAGCCGGGTTTCTATTAGGGGCAGATAATTTAGTTCGATTTTAAACTTACAGGAGGTAACTAAGAAATAACTAAGAGGAGGCTGCTTTCACGGGGGGGGGGGGGGGTGTAGGGTCGGGGTTAGGGGAAAGTGGGGGGGGGGGGGTTAGTGTTTTAAAGCAAATATTTTCAGTGGCAGCATTGGTACTGTCGAATTTACAAATTATGAATTACTGAAAAGTAGAAAATAAAACAACTAAATAGCGGCTTATGATACGCTGCGGGTCGGCTCGTTTTTTATAATCTACCATAGCTACACATCAGCCCTACCTTATGTTAGTCTCTTATACTTTTCTCTAATCTATCTATATATACAAATATATGTATAGTCTGCATTAATCCAATATAAATGGTTCATTTTTGTCTAGGAATTTAAGTATTGTTAATACAACTCATTCCCTATTCATAAAACAGCATTTTTCTCTCTTAACTATCATATTTGTTTTGTTTTTAATCATAACTTATGATTTTGTTCAGTCTTCGTAGCATAATTGTAACTGGCTGTTTTTAATGTATTTGTGCAGTATGCCAAAGTCACAGAAAGGGTCTAAAGTACCAGATCAGTCAACATTAGAAGCTGTTTATTTTGGTCAGAAACTTACAACAACAGTAAGTTCCTTGTTGTTGTTTTTATATGGGTTTTGTTTCAACTGTTTTATTGCTGAGATGTAGAAATTTTGCCATTTAGAATTGAAACTGTGCTATGTCTTCAGGAAATATTTTACCAATTTTCCACTCCCTAGTAATGTAATTATAACTATTTTCTACATCAGCCCCCTAGTCATGTATATATTTTACCCATTTTCGATTTCAGCCCCCTAGTAATGTAAACATTTTACCCATTTTTGATTTCAGCCCCCTAGTAATGTAAACATTTTACCCATTTTCTATTTCAGCCCCCTAGTAATGTAAACATTTTATTATTTTCTATTTCAGCCCCCTAGTAATGTAAATATTTTATTATTTTCTATTTCAGCCCCCTAGTAATGTAAATATTTGACCCATTTTCTATTTCAGCCCCCTAGTAATGTAAATATTTGACCCATTTTCTATTTCAACCCCCTAGTAATGTAAATATTTGACCCATTTTCTATTTCAGCCCCCTAGTAATGTAAATAGTAGTAGTTTTCGCTTGCAACAAGCACACCTCATGCACAAGACAATATGCAAAATTCTCCTCTCTGCCCACGAGAGCTTGCAGGAATCTTTACAGCTCTTTGCCTCCAAGATACCTGGAAACAGTTTCCAATTAGGTAAATTTTGTTAGTCATTCTTTTACTGTTAACTTGAGCTCTTTATAACACAGTGTAATGTTTGAACTTGTGTTGACTAGAATTCTGTGGAAAAGCTGTTCTTGTCTTACTTTTGGATTACCTTCATAATACAAGAAATGGTGGAGTGGTAGAGATTACCATTGCTAACACAAGAGGCTCTAGTTTGACCCCCAGGTTTGAGTCAGTGACATGTCCTTGAGTCCCACTCAGGTCTGATAGATGCTTGTATTCATTTTGTTAGAGAACGTAAAGTGTAGATGGCACTAAGTATGTAATCTCTTCCAATGATTGTAAACAGATAAACTCTTATCATCAGGCTTCAAAGGTTTTATATTTTCTTACGGTTCAAACCCAAGCAGTTCCAGCTACAATCTTTACTGTCCTGTTTTTTTTTAAAAGACTATTTTAAGACTACTAATGAAGTTTTTAACTGAATTTGTTTAAGGTTATTGGTTACAAATAAAAAAATAAAATGTCATTTTAAAAATGTGTATTGGTTTATTCAAAAACCATGTGCAATAAAACATTTCTGTTTATCTCCAGCAAAAAAAGATTGTCACACAAGGTTGGGAGAGGCTGTGATGAAAGTTCAGGTCAGTTGACGTCTGTCTGCCTCATTCAATGAATGAACAGCATGAATAAATACTATACGTTTGTTGTTAGCTCAATTATTTTTTTCTATCCTAATATATAAATCCCCACGTTCGCACATCTCTCTCTCTCTCTCTCTGTCTGTCCGCAAAATATTTTCGCCGGACATCACGTCAGAATCGGCAGCGATATATGAAGAACTTTTTACGGACTTTTGTTGAAAATAATATGTTAGATGTTTTAAATGTATAACCACAATTTTAGTTAAGAAGAAAAATAAAAATTAAAGGCGTATCCGAATGTAGAGAAACAGTATTATTTATGCAACCGGAAAAGCATTAATATATGTGAAAAAGAACGCATAAAACTGTGACGTCACTATTGCTTATACATTAACTAATGACGTCATCTGCCGTGTTTAGAATGAAAAGAAATGAACTATTTCATTCAAATTTGATTTAGATCTACGTACACTATGAAATGTATACAATACAATTTTTCCGGCCTAAACTCATAAAATGTATTTTATGTATTTGGATTCTAGATCTAGAGATTCTAGATCTAGACTAAATCAGCAAATCTAAATCTACGCAATAACTAGATCTAGACGTAGACGCTAAGATCTAGATTTAGACTCTAACTTCTCTAAAATCAATTCCAAAAATAAATTTCTATATTAGGACTAAACTATTTCAAGACTTATTTATTTTATACAAAATCTTTGTTTGGAACTGGCTAATTTGGGATAAAAAATTAATTTGAAAGAATAGGCATATTCGCGTAAGTTAAGATTTTAAAATACGTGTTTCATTCAGCGTATTTTATAAGGTGCCTAAATAGCGGAGATGTTAGTGTACATTAAACCACGCAGGTGGTGCGGGTTCGAGACACAGCAAGTCAACTTGGTTAATGTATTCTTTTTTATTATGCTCGGGCTAAACTTAAAAAAAAAAAAATTCTTTTAGGAATCTAGATCTAGATTGTCGGGTGTCCGATAGGGCACTTCCCGGCGCCGCAGGCGCTTCAAATTTGGCATGATCTTGCCTTGGTGCGACAGAACACGGGGGCCGGTTGGCCGAAAAGTCTACGATGTGGGGGTCAAAACTGACCTCGACTGACCGGTACCTTATATGAGCTATAAATCGAAAAAAAATGTCCACGGAGGAACCTCTTCATAACTCTTGAGGTCGTAGACCGACCTTCGGGCGAATTAATTAAGCATTCAAATTCTCAATGTTTTCGAAAGCCTAAGCGAAGCTGGGCAGCATGCCTAGTCTATTATAAAATTCATTTATTTTTCCCTTACACAAGATGCTTGTTGCACGACTATTGTATTGTTGCATTTGTCAGGGAGTTCTAGAAGGCGCTTGTTATACAACTATTGTATTGTTGCATTTGTCAGGGAGTTCTAGTGTTATACAACTATTGTATTGTTGCATCTGTCAGGGAGTTCTAGTGTTATACAACTATTGTATTGTTGCATCTGTCAGGGAGTTCTAGTGTTATACAACTATTGTATTGTTGCATTTGTCAGGGAGTTCTAGAAGGCGCTTGTTATACAACTATTGTATTGTTGCATTTGTCAGGGAGTTCTAGTGTTATACAACTATTGTATTGTTGCATTTGTTATACAACTATTGTATTGTTGCATTCATCAGGGAGTTATAGTGTTATACAACTATTGTATTGTTGCATCTGTCAGGGAGTTCTAGTGTTATACAACTATTGTATTGTTGCATTCCTCAGGGAGTTCTAGAAGATGCTTGTTCTACAATGTATTGTATTGTTGCATTTGTCAGGGAGTTCTAGAAGATGCTTGTTCTACAATGTATTGTATTGTTGCATTTGTCAGGGAGTTCTAGAAAATGCTTGTTCTACAATGTATTGTATTGTTGCATTTGTCAGGGAGTTCTAGAAAATGCTTGTTCTACAATGTATTGTATTGTTGCATTTGTCAGGGAGTTCTAGAAAATGCTTGTTCTACAATGTATTGCATTGTTGCATTTGTCAGGGAGTTCTAGAAAATGCTTGTTCTACAATGTATTGTATTGTTGCATTTGTCAGGGAGTTCTAGAAGATGCTTGTTATACAACTATTGTATTGTTGCATTTGTCAGGGAGTTCTAGAAGATGCTTGTTATACAACTATTGTATTGTTGCATTTGTCAGGGAGTTCTAGAAAATGCTTGTTCTACAATGTATTGTATTGTTGCATTTGTCAGGGAGTTCTAGAAAATGCTTGTTCTACAATGTATTGTATTGTTGCATTTGTCAGGGAGTTCTAGAAGATGCTTGTTCTACAACTATTGTATTGTTGCATTTGTCAGGAGTTCTAGAAGATGCTTGTTCTACAACTATTGTATTGTTACATTCCTCAGGGAGTTCTAGAAGATGCTTGTTCTACAACTATTGTATTGTTGCATTTGTCAGGAGTTCTAGAAGATGCTTGTTCTACAACTATTGTATTGTTACATTCCTCAGGGAGTTCTGGAAGATGCTTGTTCTACAACTATTGTATTGTTGCATTTGTCAGGAGTTCTAGAAGATGCTTGTTCTACAACTATTGTATTGTTACATTTGTCAGGAGTTCTAGAAGATGCTTGTTCTACAACTATTGTATTGTTGCATTTGTCAGGAGTTCTAGAAGATGCTTGTTCTACAACTATTGTATTGTTGCATTTGTCAGGGAGTTCTAGAAAATGCTTGTTCTACAATGTATTGTATTGTTGCATTTGTCAGGGAGTTCTAGAAAATGCTTGTTCTACAATGTATTGTATTGTTACATTCCTCAGGGAGTTCTAGAAGATGCTTGTTCTACAACTATTGTATTGTTGCATTTGTCAGGAGTTCTAGAAGATGCTTGTTCTACAACTATTGTATTGTTACATTCCTCAGGGAGTTCTAGAAGATGCTTGTTCTACAACTATTGTATTGTTGCATTTGTCAGGAGTTCTAGAAGATGCTTGTTCTACAACTATTGTATTGTTACATTCCTCAGGGAGTTCTGGAAGATGCTTGTTCTACAACTATTGTATTGTTGCATTTGTCAGGAGTTCTAGAAGATGCTTGTTCTACAACTATTGTATTGTTACATTTGTCAGGAGTTCTAGAAGATGCTTGTTCTACAACTATTGTATTGTTGCATTTGTCAGGAGTTCTAGAAGATGCTTGTTCTACAACTATTGTATTGTTGCATTTGTCAGGAGTTCTAGAAGATGCTTGTTCTACAACTATTGTATTGTTGCATTTGTCAGGAGTTCTAGAAGATGCTTGTTCTACAACTATTGTATTGTTACATTCCTCAGGGAGTTCTGGAAGATGCTTGTTCTACAACTATTGTATTGTTACATTCCTCAGGGAGTTCTGGAAGAAGATGACCTGATACAGACCGCCATCACAGACATCACCCAGCTGTGTGCTGAGAACGTCATCCTCTGGGCACAGTTCCTGGAGATTGTCTTGAAGCAGCCGCAGATTCATCATCACTTAGCTAGAGAACATCATCTCATTAGGGTCAGTCTTAACATAATCTCATTAGGGTCAGTCTTAACATAATCTTATTAGGGAAAGTTTTAACATCCCATTAGGGTCAGTCTTAACATCATCTCATTAGGGTAAGTCTTAACATCATCTCATTAGGGTACGTCTTAACATAATCTTGTTAGGGTCAGTCTTAACATCATCTCATTAGGGAAAGTTTTAACATCCCATTAGGGTCAGTCTTAACATCATCTCATTAGGGTAAGTCTTAACATCATCTCATTAGGGTCAGTCTTAACATCATCTCGTTAGGGTCAGTTTTAACATCATCTGATTAGAGTCAGTTTTAACATAATCTCATTAGGAAAAGTTTTAACATCATCTCATTAGGGTCAGTCTTAACATCATCTCATTAGGGTCAGTTTTAACACCATCTCATTAGGGTCAGTTTTAACACCATCACATTAGGGTCAGTCTTAACACCATCACATTAGGGTCAGTTTTAACACCATCACATTAGGGTCAGTTTTAACACCATCACATTAGGGTCAGTCTTAACACCATCACATTAGGGTCAGTTTTAACATCACCTCATTAGGGTCAGTTTTAACGTCACCTCATTAGGGTCAGTCTTAACATCACCTCATTAGGGTCAGTCTTAACATCATCTCATTAGGGTCAGTCTTAACATCATCTCATTAGGGTCAGTCTTAACATCACCTCATTAGGGTCAGTCTTAACATCATCTCATTAGGGTCAGTTTTAACACCATCACATTAGGGTCAGTCTTAACACCATCACATTAGGGTCAGTCTTAACACCATCACATTAGGGTCAGTTTTAACACCATCACATTAGGGTCAGTCTTAACACCATCACATTAGGGTCAGTTTTAACACCATCACATTAGGGTCAGTCTTAACACCATCACATTAGGGTCAGTTTTAACACCATCACATTAGGGTCAGTCTTAACACCATCACATTAGGGTCAGTTTTAACACCATCACATTAGGGTCAGTTTTAACACCATCACATTAGGGTCAGTCTTAACACCATCACATTAGGGTCAGTTTTAACACCATCACATTAGGGTCAGTTTTAACACCATCACATTAGGGTCAGTCTTAACACCATCACATTAGGGTCAGTTTTAACACCATATGATTAGGGTCAGTCTTAACACTATATCATTAAAGTCTTGAATTCTGATTGGTCTTAACATCACCACATTAGGGCGAGCCTTGAACAGATTAGGGAGAGAGGTTAAATATTCCCCTTTAGTATGCTTTAATATCTAAGTGCTGTTGAATATTGTGTTTTGTACATTTTCTCCATTCTCCCCTAGCCATCATACTGTTATATTTCCATTCTCAACCATTACATTTAACAAAACCAATATATTAAACAAATGGTCCATTCTCAACTAATACATTCAGCAAATGGATCTGTTATTGCAGGTTGATTACTTTACCTCAAAAGATAATTTGAAAATAATTTTACTTTTTATCTTTAACACCTGTCCTTTATTACAGCACTTACTTGAGATAGACAATGATTGTTATAAATCTTGAAATGGCTTTTAAGTTGTTTTCATACAGTGTTGTTATTATTATTATTATTATTTTTTATTATTATTAACCCTACTAAAGTGAAGTCTTTTTTTTTCTATTTCAGATCCGTAGGTTTGCTGAAGGTTTTTTCACCCATGAACACAATAAATCATCTTGTTTGTCTTGTTATGACCCAGGGTAAGTGTTTTGTCTGGGTGTTTTGCTGCTTAAAGTTTGCATGTTTTAAACCGGACGCTATATATATTTTTAAACAATTGACCCAGATTGCATTAAAAACTTTCATTATGAATGCTTTATGTTAGAAGATATCACTAGAGGAGATTTCAGATCAAGGACAGACTTTTAAATAAACACACTTCTCTGTGTTACCATTGTGTTCCTTATTTGTACATATTTGCTTGCACATTTTTGAGACTGATTTCTGCTCTAAATATCAAAGAAACACACAATTTAATGTCACTGAGTTATGAAATTTATTATCCTTGGTTTACTTTACCCTCACTATAAAAGTAAAGTTCCCTTTCAAACCTGACGGTCTATAGGACAAGTGAAGTAGAGTTCACTTGTTTCTGTGACCTTGGCATGTGAAGAGAATGTGGTCAGCACTATGCCCAGCCGCCTTTACTTTCCCTAACATGAGTTAGGTACCCATCAGAGTTGGGTGGACTCAGGGACGGTCTATTGAACCCGGATTCAAACTCGAGACTAACAGGTCAGCAGTCCAGCTCTCAGTATGGTTACATTAAAAATCATGACAAACAACCCTTGTACAAAAGTTAAACAGCTAACTCAAAACTCCTACAAAATAATAAATAATAATTTAAAATTTTTAAAAATATTAGTATTTCTGCTGATTAAATTTAATTGTTAACAGGAAAAGTTGTATTTTAAATGTTTAAATTGTAACGTTGTGTTTTTCTACCAGACTCCATGGACATTCATCACTGGCTAGCATGGTTAAAGCCTCGCTCTACTTCACCAACCTTCCCGCCATCCCTGTGGAGTGTACAGAGCTGGATGGGGATGACAATTCATTGCCCATCATATTTGAGGACATTTACCATGATGCTAGGGCTCCCCCTCCCCGTAAGTACTGTTCAATTGTTCAGGTTCTTTTTACAATTGGTTTTAAAATTTAATATTCGTATCCTTTTTATTTTCATTTTTCCATTCTATTTTTTTTTTTTAGTTTTTTATTATATTCTTTCAAATTTTGTTTCATTAATTTCCATGGCAGAATCTTATATGTTTTGTTATTTTTTCTTTCTTTTATGAAATATTTTTTTCATTAGTTTTTTTTTTTTATGAAGCCATCTCAGTATTAAAATATGGTGTTACCTTTACAATCCGGAAGGTTTGGATCTTATTTCAGAAGTTTACCAAAAAGCCACACTGCACAAGGAGAGCAGCAGCGCCACAGGATCCCCGCGGCAACGCTCCTCTTCTAACTCCTCCTCCTCACTAGCCAGTGACCGCGGCGCCTCGCCCCACTTAAGAAAGAGATCCTCGACAAAAAAGTTCATTAAAAACATGAAACCCGAGGGCTTCAAGCGGCCGTCGTCCTACTACTGCAGCGAGGCGGAGGCGGCGCAGGCCAAGATTGACAGCGCCAACGCTGCCCCGGCCGGAGTTACTCTGATTGGCTACCGCAAGATCCCCATGCCGGATTATGTCCCGTCGGCCGCTGTGCACCTGGGGACGTTTAGCCCAGACTCTCCTGACTCTGCCAGAGGTGTGTTTACCTGTTGTCACTGACAGAAATGTTGAGCCTGGGTGTCACACTGTCAGGATCCTGTTGAGTCTTGTTTGTCCTGTGTCACTGCTGGAACTAGTTGATGGAGATTGTCAACCTTTGTTTAGCTCTTTTAACTCAATTATCAGATCTTCAACCTTTGTTTAGCTATTTTAACTCATCAGATTATCAACCTTTGATTAGCTCTTTTAACTCAATTATCAGATCTTCAACCTTTGTTTAGCTCCTTTAACTCAATTATCATATTATCAACCTTTGATTAGCTCTTTTAAATAGATCATCAAAGTCCTAAAATTTCTTTTCCTTTTTGTTTATCTGATCAATATTTGCAGGAATTACGTTTTATTTACTGAAAAATCCTTTTTTTTTCTTAAATATTAATGCGTCATTAAGTTTGATTTAGATTACATTAATTTAGTCAAGATAATGACATAAAAATGTTATTTAATTTTTCCATTAATTTAATCAAGACAATGTATAAATGTAATTTAATTCATTTCTTGAAAATAATTATCAATTTTCCAGCCACTAGGTAAATTATTTAGCATTCAGTTTTTAAGTACATTATCATAATGTTATGCTTCAGCTACAGAACGCAAGAGTTCTCATGTGGTGTATTCTCTATCCCCAGGTGTGAACTTGCCCGGGCAGCTAGAGAAGGCCCACAGCACATCCATATCTTCAATATTCCCCACAGCCTGCATGAACCGCGGCAGCGAGGAATCGCTGCTGGACATCGGCGAGGCCACCTACAGCAGCTCCGACTTGTCCGGCACCAGCACGCCCCGGTCCAGCGTGGCATCTAGGCCTGACATTGCTGGTCAGCATTTACCCCCCATAACACTTCCAGAAGGACCCTGCATTTCCATCCAGCCCCCAGCGCCAAGTCCCGACCCCAGCTTGACTGTTACCCCCCAACCGCCCATTCCACCAAGCCAGTGTGATAACGTTTCTGTCAGCTCAGGTACATCAGGGGAAAGACATTCCAGTGACGAGAACTCATCCACGCATCAAACTCTGACCAGCACTCACCCGAACCCCACCCTGCTGGTCAACACACCAAGCAATAACACCGCTCACATCTCTAAACAGGACATCAACAAAATAGCAGACGGCATCAGTTTAGCCCTCGGGGAAGCAGAACCGAAACAGTTGATCATTTCTTCCAACGATGACGACTTCAGTGACGATGACACCAATGTGGCGAACGGTTTTGACGACGTCCTAGACACATATCGGCAGGATTTTTCCACCGGTCATTCGACGACGCAAGAGAAAACTTCCTCCCCGGGAACGACCGCCACGAAACAAACCAACCAGGGTCTGTCTATGTCGTTTGGTGATAAAAGTTCAGAGAAATCCCTGGACACCCCCCATACCCCCCACACCCCAGACTCTAGAAACAATGACAGTGCCTTAGGGAGTGAGATATCCTCCCAGGAGGAGATGAGCTACTCACCGTCGCCTTCAGGGAGTAACAAGCCGACGACAGCGGATGGCAGCGCCGACCCGGCCGCCACAACCCGCTTCTCTTACATGGACCCGCGTCAGAAAGTGACTGTGATAGAGTTGCTGAAAGAGGAGTACAGGCGGTCTCACCCCGCAGGGGATGCTGCTAAAGATACCCCTGGTAGGCCGATGTTTGTCTTTGTTCAACATAAGAAATCTGGGGTTTTTTTTTTTCAAAAGTAGCTAAAGATGAAGCACCCTAAAAGTGTTGTATGAATTACTTTATTTTTATCTCCTGTTATTCAATTAGGGATTAGAACAGCAGTATAAATCCTTTTATTCCCCTGTTTTAAAGCAATAATTTATAATTTTCAACTAAAAAACAGGTACCAGTTGTTTTATTAAAGTAAATAATAACAATTCACATTGTCTTGTGAAGAAACTCATTCTTTCTTGAATCAGATATTTTAAAATTATTTATACTTGATTTAGAGATGTATGGTTTTGCATTTGAATTAAAGAATTAAGAATTATTTGCAATTAAATTAAAGATGTATGACTTACTCCACATGAATTAGAGATGTGTGATTTTTTTTTTTTCCACTTGAATAAGTGATACACAATTTCTTCATACTTGCATTAGAGTTGTACGATATATTTGCACTTGAAAACATAGTTTATCTTATTCACACTTGAAGCTTTCAACTGTAACTATAATTTTTCCAGCTGAGTTTTATACAAGTAAGCATTTTGTGACATTACTCATTATGTTATGGTTGCTATTATGTTTGGGGGAAGTGGTCCATAATTGGATCATGTTCTATGTCTGGCTGTCTGATTTCATTCACTGTTTCCAGTTTCCCTGTGTGCTGATGTGTCCATAAATAAATCATGTGATACATCTGTCTGATTTCATTCTATCCCTGACCAGATTCTCTGTGTGTTATATTGTGTGCTACATCTGACTGTCTAAGTTCACTGTTTCCAGATTCCCTGTGTGCTGATGTGTCCACCATACATCCCAGCTTCACCAAAGAAAACACCTTGAGTGGTCAGCGGGCAGCCAGTGATTCAGATATCTTAAAGAACTGTGAGGAGGATGAGAAGGATGGCCAGGAGCTTATACACAGGTCAGTAGACTGGGCATGTTTCTGTTAGTGATAGCTTATACACAGGTCAGTAGACTGGGCATGTTAGTGATAGCTTATACACAGGTCAGTAGACTGGGCATGTTTCTGTTAGTGATAGCTTATACACAGGTCAGTAGACTGGGCATGTTAGTGATAGCTTATACACAGGTCAGTAGACTGGGCATGTTAGTGATAGCTTATACACAGGTTTGTAGACTGGGCATGTTAGTGATAGCTTATACACAGGTTTGTAGACTGGGCATGTTAGTGATAGCTTATACAGGTCAGTACATTAGACTGGGCATGTTAGTGATAGCTTATAGCCACAGGTCAGTACATTAGACTGGATATGTTGCTGTTAGTGTTAGCTTAAACACAGGTCAGTACATTAGACTGGGCATGTTTCTGTAAGTGCTAGCTTATAGCCACAGGTCAGTACATTAGGCTAGATATGTTGCTGTTAGTGGTAGCTTATAGCCATAGACCTGCCTGCAGCCATAGACCTTCCAGCCTGTAGCCATAGAATTGACAGCATGCAGCCATAGAACTGTTAGCATATAGCCATAAAAATGGTAGCACTTAATCAGAAAACTAGCTGTTTAGTTTGTGTCAGTCTGTAGTCACTTAGCTAGTATCCTGTAGCCACAGAACTTGCCGTCTGAAGTTAACTTGATTTTATTTTGTATTTTATTATTTCAGACCAATACTTAAGGTTCATATTATTCACATAAGCCTGTCTGTATAGCAGACATAGATATGAAACTTGCATTGGTCTTATAAAACACAAATGTCGCCTATATGGCCTGCATGTTTGTATCTTCAGGGCAAGCATTGATGGTAGTGACAAGAGGAGAACTCTGCTGTCTTCATCTTCCTCGTACCCAGAGTTATCCCATGCAGTCAAACCTGAAACACCACGTCTGGTGTCAGTGGTTGGCCACAGTACAGTCAAGTAAGACTTTTTTTAACTTTTACTCAGACCCTTGTGGCCAGCCATAGTGGTGGCTGATTCTTGACCACAGATCAGCTTTCCCTGGAGGCTGAAAACTGTTTTTATTTAACTTTTTAACTGAAATCTGTTGTAAATATTTTGGGAACAACAGATAAGTGTGAGAGCAATAATGAGACCCCAAAGTGTTGGGTTGTAACAGTATCACTAACTAAAGGAACAAGCTGTGTTTGGTCAGCTCCACCACTTAGCAGATAAAGTAAAGTTCCCTGTTTGAACATTGAGTGTACCATGGGGAAAGTAAAGTAGAGTATCCCTGTTTCTGTGACCCTGGCATATGAAGGGATAGTGTGGTCAGCACTATGCACAGCCACCTTTACTTTCCCTAACGTTTTTGGCACCCAACAGAGCTTGGTGGACCTCTGAGACATTCTACTAACTTGAACCCAGATTCCAACTCAAGACTTTCCGGTTAGCAGTAGAGTTCATGTTTCTTGACCTCAGCATATGAATGGATAGTGTGGTCAGCACTAAGTTCAATTGCCTTTACTTTTCCCAACAGTTGGGTGGACTCAGTGGTTGTCCAACAGTCCTAAATCCAGATCAAGATCCAAAGTCGAGACATTTTAGATTAGTGCATGTTGTTAAACAATCCATAAAGTCATCCAGACTATCTAAGATGGTAGTCATTGGTTTGATGTAAGACTTGCAGGGACTGTAGGAAACTAAAACAATTATTTTCTATATCCTCTAGTTTTGTCCAGTTAAGAGAAAGCCTCAAACTGCAAATGAATTTTCCTGGTCATTTATACAGGTCAGTTTTGTTGATTTGGTCATTTTTTAGAGATCAATTTCATGGTGTTGCATGAGATTTCAAACTAATTTTTATTTCAAATCATCAAACACTACATTTCTTTTACTTTTATTTTGTAATCAGTTCCATTATCGGTGTACATTGGTAGCTTAGGAATAGTCCTTTGTTTTTCTAAATCATTTGCTTTTAAATGGGAATGAAACAGGAGTGAATAAGTTAGTGATTACACTGATTTTGTTTTCAATTCTAGGCCATTGATTTAAAAAGTGGTTTTAGTTCATTAAGAAGAATCATGTTTTGGGTGAAATTCAAACACAATTTTTTTTATATTACTCTTTTAATTTGTTTTTTATATTACACTTTTGATTATTACCCAATATTCTACTTAATTAATCCAGTGTGAGAAATAAAGTAAAATATTTCATGTGTAAAAGCACACACAATGTTATGAGGGTTAAAACCACATAACTATCAGTGCTGTAATTGCAACAACAAAAAAAAAATTATCCACAAGTGGAATTTTTAAATGGCTACAAACAATAGTTAATAATTAATGAGAACAAGGCTAGGTCAGGGGTCGGCAACCTGCGGCTCGCGAGCCGCATGCGGTTCTTTTGATGTCAAGATGCGGCTCTTCGGCTCCATGCAAAATATTAGTTATTTTATTTTATTTTCAAAACTCAAAAAAAATATCGTTCTGCAACACTCGGTAATAAATTATATAATCATAAACATAAACATTCGCTATTCTATTAGAATATTTAGGTACTCCCTATTTTCAATGTACTTCCTATTAAACTGTTCATCCCGAATTGAAACATTCAACTTCACGGTGGATATCACAAAAAAAAAAACAAGCTAAATGTAAAACTGCAAGGAAAGGAAAACTCAGCCAATGCCTTGCTTGAGAAGTTGATGTTCGAAAAAAAATAATACTTTTTTTTTGTTGAAGACACGGAGAGCGGTAAATTTTGAAAAATCTGAAAAAAGTATCTACAAACAAATGCAACTATTAGCATGAATTGCTTCAGCATTACAACAAACAAAACGAAGGATGGATTCACTAAGAGATTTGAGCAATTCAAAACAAATGCAAGTACTTTGACGTTCGTAGTAGACTCCCTCAACACAAAAACAAATGAGATTAACTTTGAGCTATTTGGAATTGATGCTGGTTCGCATTAAATGCAATTGCTGGATTTGAAAACGACACATTTGTTGAGCGGAAAAGTCACAGAACTCAAGAGCAAGTAAAAATAGTTGAAGGTCCAGTAAAACATGCACGTTACGCTGCACAACTGGACAGCTGTAAAAGAATATCGCGAGTTGAGGCACTTATACGTGACGCATGGAATAGATTTGCAGGATGGTACAGTAACGTGGAGAAGTTGACATCTGGAGTGCTGACATTCTTTAGGTCAACATATTCGTGCTAGCAAGAGTTCTCTTACATGAATACAATAAAAAGTTAAGTAAGAAGCCATCTAACAACTAAAAATCTAGAGGCGTGCTTGAAACTTCCTGAAACAAGAAGTTATGAGCCAGATTTAAACAAGCCGTCAAGGTCAATGCTCACATTGATGTAACTATTGTAAATATTCAATGATTATAGTTATATTTTATGATTACTAATTTTATTTTTCTAGCAGAGCTAGCTAAAATACTATAATATGTTTTTGTGCGAAACGTGTATTTTTTAAAATATGAAGAAATATTATTTCATATTTTAAGCTATTTATTTAAATTATATTTATAATTATATTTAATTAAATTATATATATATACATATATATATATATGTATATATGTATATATGTGTATATATGTGTATATGTGTATATATGTATATGTATATATACATATATACATATATACATATATACATATATACATATATACACATATAAACATATACACATATACACATATACACATATACACACATATCCTAATATATAATGGCCCATGTGCGCTCTTCTCTCTCTCTGTCTGTCCGCAAAATATTTTCGCCGGACATCACAGAAACAGCAGCGATATATGGAGAACTTTATACGGACTTTTGTTGAAAATAATATGTTAGATGTTTTAAATGTATAACCACAATTTTATTTAAAGAAGAAAAATAAAAAATAAAGGCGTAATCGAATGTAGAGAAACAGTATTATTTATGCAACCGGAAAAGCATTAATAGATGTGAAAAAGAACGCATAAAACTGTGACGTCACTATTGCTTATACATTAACTAATGATGTCATCTGCAGTGTTTAGAATAAAAAGAAATGAACTATTTCATTCAAATTTGATTTAGATCTATGTACACTATGAAATGTATACAATACAATTTTTCCGGCCTAAACTCATAAAATGTATTTTATTTATTTGGATTCTAGATCTAGATGTTCTAGATTCATCTATTCAAATAATACATTTCTATACTAAAGTATTTCAGGCCTTAATTACTTTATTGAAATCTTTGTTTATCTATGCAATTTGCTAATCTCTATAATATATAAAGCAAAGTTGTCGGGTGCCCGATAGGGCACTTCCCGGCGCCGCAGGCGCTTCAAATTTGACAGGATCTTGCCTTGGGGCGACAGAACACGGGGGCCGGTTGGCCGAAAAGTCTACGATGATGGGGTCAAAACTGACCTCGACTGACCGGCGCCTTATATGAGCTATAAATTGAAAAAAAATGTCCACAGAGGAACCTCTTCATAACTCCTGAGGTCGTAGACCGACCCTCGGGCAAATTAATTAAGCATTCAAATTCTCAATGTTTTCGAAAGCCTAAGCGAAGCTGGGCAGCATGCCTAGTACACATATATTTGACCACTTCTATGAAAGGCAATACATCTTCCAACTTTACTGCTTATTAAATATTTCAGAGATCCCAACTTTTAATCATAATTCTACATATATTTCAGGAATCCCATCTTTTAATCATAATTGTACACATATATTTCAGAAATCCCAACTTTTAATCATAATTGTACACATATATTTCAGAAATCCCAACCCAACTTTTAACCTTATTTTTTATATCTTTCAGTGAGTGTCCCAACTTAGCTTCCACTATTCCTTATTTCCAACTGACCAGTGATGCTGATGAGTCATCTGGTATTCACCTCATAGTCTGTGTGCATGGGCTAGATGGTAAGTTAATGGCTTTTGTCTGTATCTCAACCTATGTAGTAGATTTATTATTATTATCTATTTTGTTTTATGCTTTATCAGCAAAATCTTTTCTGTCCAGCTATGATAACTGTACTGAAGCATATTTAAAATTTTGGTATACACAATACACAATACATTCTTACTTGCGCTAAGCTGTATCAAACTACCACAGTTCTAAACTTTCTATAAAGGGGTTAAAAAGTATGTACTTTGTTAATTGCAGAAAGGACTGTACAGTATCATATGTAGGATTTATTTGGCTGGGTGGGCCTATAATTGTCAGAGGACTAATATAAATATTGATGGGGTTAAGATAGCAATGCCAACAAAATTTCCTCCATAGCCTAATTCTTGACCCTGTTGTAATCATAATAACAAATATTTTATTTCAATAAATAACCCATATTGACATCATGATCTAATTTTCCTAACGGCATGTCTTATTTAAATGTTGTCTATCGTGCAGGTAACAGTGCGGACCTTAGACTAGTTAGGACTTACATTGAGATGGCCCTCCCTGGGTTTAGACTGGAGTTTTTAATGTCTGAAAGGAATCAGGTACAGTTTTCTATTGTCTAATCATTTATATTTCAAATTAGTTTTAAGTTTGTTGGGGGGGGGGGGGATTTTGTTCTCTCAAATTTTTTTTTTTTAAATGTTTACTAAATAAAATTGGTTAGGTCATTCATTAACATTAACAAAATATAAGTTGAACACAAGAAATTATTGAAGTTTCCTTTTGCAGGAAAATCACAATTCATGGGTGGACTCTTACATTAAAACATCAGCACGAAGTTTTCATTTCCCTTTACAGTAAAACATTACATCACTGTTCCCTATCCAAAAAAACATCATATAATTGTTCCCTATTAAAAAAAAATCACATAATTGTTCCCTATCAAAAAAAAACATCACATAATTGTTCCCCACCAAAATAAAACATCATGTAACTCCTTCACATCAGAATAAAAAACCTCATGTCTTTTTTTCCTTATCCAGCAAGATACTTTTGCTGACTTTGACAAAATGACGGACAGACTGGTGGAAGAAATTTTATCCTACTTGGACACTTTTGGGTTTGACGTCACAAGAATCAGGTAGGTAGTGCTTGTTTACTTGTTGACATCAAAGTTAATGAAGGGAGGCCTCGTTATCTTGTAAGGTAATGAGATGTGTTTAATTGTAACCTAGTTAAAAATATGGTCACATGGTCTCCCACACTACCATAACATAACAGTAAACTACTACAATGTAGATTTCTCAAACAGGTCATTGTACAGGCCTATATTCAATTCTATTGTATCATGAACATCATAGTTTCCCTTAGTGCCCAAGACACATGGGAAGATGAAGTAGAGTTCATCTGTTACAGTTACATTGGCATACAGAGGTATAGTGTGGTCAGCACTATGCCCAGCTATCTTAGTTTCCCTAATGTGAGTCAGATACTCATCAGAGATAGGTGGACCCAGGGACATCCTACGGACTTAAACCAGAGACCTCAATGTGAGTCAAGTGCCCATCAGAGCTGGGTGGACTCAGGGATGTTCTACTGACTTAAACCAGAGGTCTCAATGTAAGTCAGGTACCCATCAGAGCTGTGTGGACTCAGGGATGTTCTACGGACTTAAACCAGAGACCTCAATGTAAGTCAGGTACCCATCAGAGCTGGGTGGACTCAGGGATGTTCTACTGACTTAAACCCAGGATCTGAACCCGGGACATTAGGGTTAACAATCACAAGCCTTACCATCCGACCATGCCATCCCATATTATGAACAGTGTTAATTACAAATGTATTTTCTAATTACATCCCCTGTGTATTTGACTGTCCACAGCTTTGTCGGTCACTCACTGGGCAACATCATCATCAGGTCAACACTCTCCCACCCTAAGGTGGCCCACCTGTTACCCAAGCTCTACACATTTTTATCTCTGTCTGGTCCTCACCTGGGGACTCTCTACAACACCAGTGGACTGGTCAATATGGGTCAGTGGTTTGGTCAGTTAGGCTGTGTGATTGTGAGTGGTTTGGTCAGTTAGGCTGTGTGATTGTGAGTGGTTTGGTCAGTTAGGCTGTGTGATTGTGAGTGGTTTGGTCAGTTAGGCTGTGTGATTGTGAGTGGTTTGGTCAGTTAGGCTGTGTGATTGTGAGTGGTTTGGTCAGTTAGGCTGTGTGATTGTGAGTGGTTTGCTCAGTTAGGCTGTGTGATTGTGAGTGGTTTGGTCAGTTAGATTGTGTGATTATGAGTGGTTTGGTCAGTTAGGCTGTGTGATTGTGAGTGGTTTGGTCAGTTAGGCTGTGTGATTGTGAGTGGTTTGGTCAGTTAGGCTGTGTGATTGTGAGTGGTTTGGTCAGTTAGGCTGTGTGATTGTGAGTGGTTTGCTCAGTTAGGCTGTGTGATTGTGAGTGGTTTGGTCAGTTAGGCTGTGTGATTGTGAGTGGTTTGGTCAGTTAGGCTGTGTGATTGTGAGTGGTTTGGTCAGTTAGGCTGTGTGATTGTGAGTGGTTTGGTCAGTTAGGCTGTGTGATTGTGAGTGGTTTGCTCAGTTAGGCTGTGTGATTGTGAGTGGTTTGGTCAGTTAGATTGTGTGATTATGAGTGGTTTGGTCAGTTAGGCTGTGTGATTGTGAGTGGTTTGGTCAGTTAGGCTGTGTGATTGTGAGTGGTTTGGTCAGTTAGGCTGTGTGATTGTGAGTGGTTTGGTCAGTTAGGCTGTGTGATTGTGAGTGGTTTGCTCAGTTAGGCTGTGTGATTGTGAGTGGTTTGGTCAGTTAGATTGTGTGATTATGAGTGGTTTGGTCAGTTAGGCTGTGTGATTGTGAGTGGTTTGGTCAGTTAGATTGTGTGATTATGAGTGGTTTGGTCAGTTAGGCTGTGTGATTGTGAGTGGTTTGGTCAGTTAGATTGTGTGATTATGAGTGGTTTGGTCAGTTAGGCTGTGTGATTGTGAGTGGTTTGGTCAGTTGGATTGTGTGGTTTGGTCAGTTGGGCTATGTGATTGTGAGTGGTCTGGTCAGTGGTTTGATCAGCTGGATTGTGTGGTTTGGTCAGTTGTCTGAATGGTTTAGTCAGGTGGTGAGTGGTTTTGTCAATAGGATTGCTGGTAGAGATTTAGCAATCTTTATGCAATAGTAATAATCTTGTTGATGCTTTGTTTATATTAAAGTGATCCCTTGATTTCAGGAATGTGGTTCATGCAGAAGTGGAAAAAGTCTGGCTCCTTACTACAGCTCTCCCTCAAAGACCACACAGACCCCAGACAAACATTTATCTACAAGCTCAGTCAGAAGCCTGGTCAGTGCTCTTACATTTTGTTGTTTTGTTTGTTTAGCTAAATTTCAAGGCAATATTTACCTTGTGCATTGTAATTTACATTAGCTAAATTTCAAGGCAATATTTACCTTGTGGATTGTAATTTACATTAGCTAAATTTCAAGGCAATATTTACCTTGTGCATTGTAATTTACATTAGCTAAATTTCAAGGCAATATTTACCTTGTGCATTGTAATTTACATTGATCCAGCAATTGTATTTCCTTGCCACTGTTTTCTGGTTACTTTTGCATTATCCATACCACATCATTAGATTTCTGTAGTGTTATTATAAGCTTAATTAGTGGTTTGGTCTGGCTAATCCATGCCCCTCTGTTTCAGTGCTCCACCACTTCAAACATGTCCTGCTGGTGGGGTCTCACCAGGACCGCTACATCCCCTACCACTCCTCCAGGATTGAGATCTGTCGGGCCGCACAGAAGGACACCAGCACTACAGGTCAGTCACACTGGGGTTCAGGGTGTTGCACCCCCCCCCCCCCACACACACACACACAAACACACAAAACTCACAACCCCCAGCTTAATAACAGCCCTTGTCAACTTCTCCCCATTGTAATTATATTCCCCCCCCCCCACCTGTCAGAAAAACCCTTTGACCCAGGGTGTTGCACCACCCCCACCCCATCCCAACAAGTCACAACCCCCAGTTTAATTACACCCCTTGTAAATTATTCCCCATTGTAATTATATCACACACACCCCCACCCCACCTCTCAGAAAAAAACCTTTTAATAGATGTTGTTGGCTAAATGAGAAACAGCATTCAATTAAATGCTCAGGCATTCGATAGAATTCCTGAAATGTGTTGACAGTACTAATTATTTTATATATAAAAAGCCGAGCAATAGAACTGGGAAAGTGTAAAATATCCATAATTTTTCTTAATCCTAGACCTAACCCAATCATTATTTTATATTTGGGGTTAGATTTAGTTTCTGGTTAATTTGTAATTAACAAGGATAGGTAATGTCCTACTCCATTTTTTTTGGGCGGGATGATGTTAGGGTAATGTCCTACACCATTCTTTGGGCATGGATGATAATGTGGGGCTATTGGTACAGGGGTAATGTCCTGCTCCCATCCCACTGATATTTCTTAGATTATTTTGATAGTTTTTTTCATTAAGGGTGTTATACCTTTAAAAAAGGAATCTCAATTTGTGAGTTACACTCCATGAAGTGAATTGTTTGATTGGTTAATATGGCTACTACTATAAGAAAATATGATGCCATTATATGCTAAACCATGAACATCCCTTTGTATGCTGGAGACTCAATCCTTTTATAAGGCCACAGAAATATTTGCATGCTACTTTATTTAGTCTATTGGATATCACATCAGAAAGCCTACTTTTCTTTAAACATTCTTGTTGTAAAAACTTAACAAATATTCAAATCATGTGAATTTCTAGCTGTTTACTTCTCACCCATATTCTAGGTGCTATTTATAGAGAAATGGTGCAGAACATTCTAGAGCCAATCATCCAGTCAGCCACCTGCACGCTGATCCGCTATGATGTGTTCCACGCCCTGCCCTCCACCGCCAACACCATGATAGGCCGGGCGGCCCACATTGCAGTGCTGGACTCGGAGATCTTTATTGAAAAATTTCTCACGGTCACGGGGTTGAAGTACTTTCAGTGAATCCTGTGACAGTGCTATCTAGGACTAGAGTACCATATGTGACTGAAGTACTTTCAGTGAATCCTGTGACAGTACTGTCTGTGACTAGAGTACCATATGTGACTGAAGTACTGCCAGGAAATCTTTGAATGCAGTACTAAATGTGACTGAAGTACTTTCAGTGAATCCTGTGACTAGAGTACCATATGTGACTGATGTATTTCTAGTACTTCTAGAACTCCTGCTACTTTGTACTTCATGTAAATTATGTGACTGAGGCACTTCATGTTAATCATGTGACTTGGGGCACTTCATGTTAATCATGTGACTTGGGCACTTCATGTGAATCATGTGACTTGAGGCACTTCCTGCCTGCATGTAGGTCTGTACTTATCTGCTGATAATTTACCTGCCCTTAAACTTTATGGCATTTAATTAAAACTTAATGAACGTACAAATACTACACTACAAATGTTCTCCTAAATGCACAAGTAAAGAACTTAACATCTAGTTTGCTACATCCCCTTAAAGAAGTATTTCTATATAAAGGTGTGTAGAATACTGCATGTACTACTTATATTGTTACAACAACTGTGTAGGGGGACATGAGTTTAGACTTGTTGCTGTGTATTAGCCAATATTACTCTCCAGTATTTGACGTGTTTCAAGGCTTTGGTCAGTCCCTGTGATACTGTGACATAAAGAAAAAAAATTTGGACATTAAAGAATCTGTTACATACTGGATGATAGATTCTTCTTGTTGTTTGTTTTTTTGTTGTATGATATGTGTACAGCTGGTGTACACAGCTGGGCTGGCTGATGTACACAGTAGCATTCTTGGTAAATTTTAAATTGTATATACTGAAGGGTGTAATTTCACAAACACTTATTTTTTCTTGTTTTTTTTTTTTATATTATTATTATTAACAAAGTAGAATTCTTTTTTAAAGTTAGTGTGTTTTGTAAACACGTTCATTATTACCTGTGGTTTTTTTTTTTTACTAATTATCTACCAGAGTACAGAAAGGTATTGTAAAATTTTAAAAAAATTGGGGTTGTAAATTGTATAATACAGAATATTCTTTATGGGGGTTGGGGATATTTTCATAATAAGAGCAGCTGTCACACATACAATTACTCTACTTCATTAGCCCTATTCATCTTTGAGGGGGAAAAAATTATTTTATTTTACTGTTGGTGTATTGAGTTCTAAATTATTTTTGTATTTTAATTTTTTTGGTAATCATCCGCCACTACACAATATTTGTATAATTGTTTTTAGTGTAAATAGGTGCTTATGACTTTATTGGTAACCTTTTTTTTTTCCAGTAAACTTTCTGTGATTAACTGGTGCATTTTTTTTTGGCTAACTTTCTGTCACATTTATCAGGTTTTTTTTTTATGTCAGCTGTTCTGTTGTTTGTACTGCTGTTAAAATGTTAATCTCTGCATAATAACTTTACATGGTTTGTTAGAACACAACTAGAGGGTATACTGAGTTGAGAATTAGACTGTGAAAGCCTGCCCATTAATTGTTGACTTATGAAATAGTTTGTGTACACCAGTATGTTGATGGGTTAGGATCTAGAGTGTACACTGTATGCCCATATGTTGATGGCTTATGATCTAGAGTTTGTGTGTAGCCATATGTTGCTGGAGGTCTCTCCCTGATGCAATACAAACAATGCAATTTGGTGATCCATTATTTCATTGATGTGCTTTGCTCTTGCTGCCTTCTAATATTTAAAGAAAGGCTACTCTTTATTATATCCTATACCTCCCTTAGTTTTATTTAGCTGCCCATTTCATGATTGAAGAAAGACTACTCCTTTTCTTTATAATATCATTTACCTCCCTTAGTTTTATTTAGCTGTCCATTTCATGAATTCATATTTTCCATTATAAGTATAAGGAAAACCGATTATAATAATTTTTGTGTTAAATTCATCAGTGTTTAATAGTAAATAGGTAAGGATCTTGGTGTAAGCAAAGTTTACTTTAATTTCTTCTGGGAAGTAAATTAAAAGTTCGTGTCAAAACAGTTTATGGCATTGTCATTTCAATCCTGTATGACATAGTTTCAACTTTGGCTATTAGTAAATTGGAAACAATAATTGAGCTATGTCATTGCTATCCCAATCTGATTGTGCAGTTTGATTTATTTCAACAATTGTTGTTTTTAAACCTGGTTGCTTGTTTTAGAGTTTTAGCTATGTTTTATAAGACGTTTAGGTTAGCTTTCATTTTGTAAAAAAAAAAATTAATAGACTTTTTAGGAGATGTATTGCCTCCCTTGTCATCAATGCTTTAGCTAGCTGTGTTCAAAGTATTTAAATGTGTTTATTATAAACTACAGTATATTATATAGAATCTGCTATTCTCTCTTATATCTATGTTAATTTCTTAATTAGTTAAGTATAGCTTACTTAGATTAAGATTACACAGCTTTTGGAACAATAAAATGAATTACAAGTCTTTTATGTAAATATTTTATAGACAATCCAGTTCTGATTGCGTTTATTAAATATGTTCTTTGAATGTGATTTGTTGTTAAACCTATTGTTTAAAATCACATTCTTAAAAAATTTTAAATACCTCCTTTAAAACTTAGCTCGATAAAGCTGTTTTGTTTATATTAAATTTTATCAGCTTTCAAATAGAATATAGCTTTGAGATCAATTTATAAAATATATCAGCCACCCTATTTTTTATTTGTTAAGTATGATATGCAGATTAGAGAACTTTATTACGGTTGAGTTGTATCACCCACTGCACAAGGAAAATCATAACTAAGCTACTAATTTCTACACCTGTTTAATTTTTTGTTCATTCAATACTCATGTTTTATTTTTGTAACTATTTATTTTTTTTTTCTTATTGTTTTATCTCACTTTTTTTTTTGTTATTTTTAGCTTGATTTTTTGTTTTTGGTATTACCTTATTTGTATTTTACTATTTAGCTCTATGTTTGTTTTAAAGTTTGTATTTTCTTCTGTTATGTACTTACTGTTTATTTAAGTGTTTTTGTGTTTGTTACTAATTGATAGTGCTGTTGATTGAGACAAATATTCATGACATCTTGCTACACATTACATATTATCATATACTTAATATATCAGCAATATTTTATTAATACTTGCATATATTAAACCATTTTACATATCATTATATTTCAACTACATATGAATATTGATATACAATTATTCTATATCATGGAGTCTTAGGGTCTATATTATATAACATGATATTAGCCATGAACTGTATTCAAGAAATATTTTCTGAGACAGAATGTTTGATTGCCTTCTGTGCCATATGGGTGTGAGTTAAGGTTTTATAACATACAAATTTTTTTTTAACACTAAGTTCGACAAGTCGCCTCTAAATATTCTCAAAAATGAAGCAGATTCTACATGTAAAACATCGTACCAATTTATTTAACGACTAGTAAAGTGCAAAATTAATTAATTTAATGTTAATTGATGCTGCGTAAATTTTTAGTTTTTAAATATCAGTATTTTTTAAAAAGGGAAATGTAAAATTCTGATAATGGAAGTCAATGTGACAAGTTTGTATAAAATTGGTTTTGAAAATACTGGTTTGGGGGGGGGTAATTTTTTGAGAAAGTATTCTTAAAGAAATGGCTGGCCCCATAGTATCTTCACACAAGTATGCTCCAGCCTGTCACTGTAAGTAACTATTTGTTGTTAACATGCAGCCAGGATTATTTTGAAGATGTTAAGTCCAGAAAATACTCTTTAACCCATCAGCAAGCTCAAAGTCATCATCTTTGAAAGTCATATATTCAAAGAGAAACATTAAATATGTATGCATGAATTGGTTGTGTTAAGCATTCTTAATAATCTAGTTTTACCAGAATGAGGTTTTATTTCTACCTTTCAGTATAGTTCACAAATTTCATTTTTTTTTTTTTCTAGACCATTTAATGTTAAAGAATGTGGTAATTATCATTTCAAAGCAAAGCTAGTAAAAATTTCTAATTTTTGCTGACTATATTCCATTAATTATCTTTCAATCAAGTTCTTTTTCATTATTTAAATAAAACATAATAACAGGTTAATTTTTATTTTTTGTGCGATTATCTCCCCCATGTATGCAATGCTGTTAGAGTTGTGTGCTCATCTCAATGAAGTTTTTTAAAGTACACAAGTATTTTTCTAGCCTAGACAGGTTGTGTTCCATAGAACAAGTGTTTGTGAGCTGGTTGGTTTTACCAGGTGAAGCTGTTGGGCCATCACAACAGCTCCACCATGATTTGTACATTATTCTGAATAAATAAAATATTTATGATGCTTTTGTTTTATTGTTTTTATATTAGAGTTAAGTTTTTTAGTTGACTTCCCATCTTATAGAGTAACTCCCTTTCATTCAATAATTCTGTTTAAGAGACTGGGCTAATAGCACATGAAAAGATGTGAACCAGCATTAGTCTAAAGTAAATAGCCATTGACTCTTTCAATGACTAGCGAGTCTAAGCATGGTGAGGGAAATTTTAACCAGAAAAGTACAAGATATTTCATATTTTAATGGCTAGTACACATTAGAGAACAAATATACAAATGTAACATTTTTTTACATTAAAAAAAAAAGAAATATAAATAATACTGTGGACTTTTGACAAGTTGGATAGGGAAATTTGTGAATGCTGTCATACAACACTTTACAAACAATGGTACATCTTGTCGATATTGTGGCATCACACTAATGGGAGTTTCTGAATTGTGATGTCAAACTTCTACATTTTAAAGCAGATTCTTAAGCTCTCTATGTAAGCGTAGACAAATTGAACATCTTGATATTTTAAAGACATCTGTTTACTAGAATTTGTAGTTGGGGAGGGAGGCAGAGGTAGGTTGAATTATTTTATAGAGGAATGGTGTGTTTGACTATTGATAACTAATGAAGGTGGAGGTAAATATGTCTTTTAAAGGGGGACATAATTTATGGACAACTCCTAACATGAGAAGTCCAGTAGAGTTAGTTTTATTTTACAAGGGGAAGTAACAAGTTCCATTTCAAATGTATATACACAGTTTCAATATTTTGGCAAATTTAAAATTTGCTTATCACAGATATGCACATATATTCCTATGAACCAGCATTCACATATAGCATGCTCAGTAAACAAGTTGTAATATTATAATGTCAACGACAACTATCATTAACATATTGCATCTTCAAACATTACAAAAGCATGTTAATTTTAACAAAAAAGTTTAAATATCTGGTAGATTTACTGTCCATCTGTATAAATTAGTGAACTAGAGTTCCTTTTTCTAACTTGGTCAATAGGGTGAATGAAGTAGAGATCACCTGTTGTGGGAATGGTCAGCAGCCTTTCTTTCCCTACCTCAAATTAGGTACTCTTCACAGCTGAGTGGGCTCAGGTAAGTTCAATGAACTGAACTCATGACTTAAGAGTTAACAAGTATGTGCTCTACTACTGCACCACAAAATTCCATATTATCCTAGATAACCAAATAATTTATCTTGTGAATTAAATTACATTTAAAATCAACATCACTTTCCATCAGTAACACTTGTAAGTATTCGGGGAAAAATACAATTTGATGTCACCACAAGCAAGAGTTGTTAAATCCATCGCCTTGAAGAATTAAAAATAAATGACTGTTTTCCTAGCTGAAGTGGTCTGTAATGAGCTGAAATACAACATGGTACATTATATTTTCTTCATTTTTATCGTAAAATTGGATTTCCTCCAACACAATTTAGTATTGTGTGTCAGCATGTTATGCATCATATGGCCTATTGACTCTGAACTAGTCTGCTGTTCTTTCTGGATTTGAATCCATTACCTTTGTCCATCCAAGAACAAAACTTATTTTATAATTGTCAAATAAAGTTACAAGCTTTAGAAAAACTGAACTAACAGGCATTATAAAAATTTTAATTGTTCTAGAACAACACCAGCTTCTTTGATTGGCCAGATTAACTATGACATAAGAAAACCTCTTTTGACTATTTTATAATGTTAATCTCTAATTATGATTTAAAATAATAATTACTTCCACTACATGTTGGCTGAACTATTATATCATTGTCTTGATTTTTTTAGAAATTTATATTTTGGTTTATTTGTAGTGTTCATTTGTTTTCTTATGAATTTTGAGGAAATTACTGTAATAACATGCCTTTTTCTAAAAACAAAACAAATTTGATTTTGATGAAAATAATTATTGTTTTATCTTTAGCTAAAAAGATTTTAATTTTAATTTACTAAAATCTATAAAGAAAATTTTTATTTTCTAAACAAAACAATAACAGAATATAAATTGTAATAATAACTTATATACGAAAGTTTTTTACAAAGTGAGCACTTACCTGGTCCAGGAAGATCTGGGTCAGACCCGTGCCCCGCCCACCTTCCTGTTGTTGACACAAAAGCAGAACTGGACATGTAATGCTTGGGGGCCTCGTCAAAACTCCTCAGCTCATACGCCCCAGGGCCTGGGGAAGGGGGTGTCACTGGGAGGGGCATGGCTGGTGCTGATATACACAGATAATGCTTTCTCCTGTGGTAATGAAAACAATTTAATTAAAATTTAGCAAACATGTTCACAAAATGTATTTATTAACCCCCTTATTATAAGGGCTAAGAATATTGTACTGTAAATTTTCTATGTAGTGCATTGATACACTTTTCCCAGCTCGATTTTGTAGTACTACAGTATTGTCCATAGTACCAGAAAAATCTACCCCAAGTTGATTATTTGCATGATACACGTTATACACACTTACGGAAAAATGAGTTTAGCTGGTTGTTCTATTGGTGCATTAGGGTCGTATGCCCCTGGACCAGGAACCTGTCCGGCAAATATAAAATATACAATATGTAATTAGGTCTGCCTCTTTGTCAATACACTGTGATTGTGGCAATTCTTTTAAAACTTATCTCAGACTTAATAAAGCATTATGAAGCATATATAATAAATTTATAAGTAAATATATAAACAACCATATCATACTCCCCCATCTGTAAATATCAATTTGACTGGGTTTTTTAACGTTAACTTGTGGATTGTGTTCTTGTATCATAAAAATATAAACAATTACCTCATCCCCTTTAGGTTGTAACTGACGTTTAGACTTTGACTTAAAGCTGGACAGTGGAACTTTTGCACTCTGGTGCAACAGCTGGTCATTGATGTCATACTGACCTAGCAGTGATGAGAAAAATTAGATTTTTAAACAGTATTTTTTTAAACGCCGTAGTTGCTATACTACTTAAAATGTAATTAATTTTAAAGAAATCAGAAAACATGAACAACTCTTACATCCTCTACCCAGCAAAACAGCTGTACATTTTTGCATTAGTGTACACATTTATGCCTATTCTTCCCCTATGAATCCATCTAGACTCTCAATTTAGCAAGCCTTCCTGCATATATTTACATAAAACAACACCATGTGAACTGGACCACACCCTCAGCCCCACCCCACAGCTCACTCTACTACCTGGTGCTGGATTGTTCTTTTGTTCCGATAAATTCAGCATGTCTCTCTTTGTTTTGGACTTGAATGCTGCATTAGCTGTGACATTATTTGACTTGCCCATAGAATATTTTAGCACCTATCAGCATTAAAGAGTACAGAATTTACAAAAAAAATTCAACTTAAAATGTTAATCCGTGCTTTTTATAAATAATATTTATCTATCTATCAAAGCATTTTTTTTTCTAAAAATTTTATCTTATCCAGTTATTTACAATTTACAGTACAACATTCTTTTTGATTATTTAAAGTGAGTTTGTTCTTGAACCAAATTTCATTTTGATTTAAAACTCACCTCATATGAATTAGGGGCAGGCACTCCGTCTGATTTCTGGACAGTCTGGGCTATAGGAAGCTGAAACAGCCTTTCAACTTTACACCTGTTAAAATTTTTCCTGGTGCTAAGAAGACTTGGTAAGGCATAGATTCCAGGTCCAGGACCGCTTGGCAGTGCAAAACTGAGTTGCCTTTTTGACTGTTTTTTTTTAAAGATAGTGTAGATATGGTTTATTTAATTTTTACAAAATAACTTCAAATGAAATACAGATTCTTATCAACAAAGGAAGATAATAAAGTTCACTTCCTACAGAATTGTGAAGTATTAAATTCACAATTGACATTTTTCTCAATTTTAACTTTAAAATCATTGTGCATAGAAGGGAAATAAAAACTTGTGAGCATATTTTTTAAATTTTATATTAGAGTTTGAAGTAGGCAAGCAGGTTGTTATATGTTACCTTAGAAGCAAAAGAGCCAGTTCCTTTCTTAGAAAAAGATGGATTTGTGACATCATCTTTGCTTAAAGCCCCATAGCTTCCAGGAGCTGGAACTTCTGTCTGTGAATTAATAAGTATGAAAACTGTTTATGCTTACAACCAATAAGCTAAGCTTCTAAACCACAAAGCCATCATAATTTGAAATAACATTTTGCAATGCATTTAAAAAATATCAGTGTAATATAGATTAGGCCTAAGTAAGAGGAAACTAAGAGTCACTCCTCACTATATATATTACAATACACACAACTGTGAAATCTTACCATGAAAGAATCATCATTAAATCGTTTAGCCTTGGATAAAAATCCTTTTTTATCACAGTTCTCTGTGACAATAGTTTGGAATTTTGTTGGTATTGATGCATTGGCAGCAACAATAGCCTGACCTGTGAATTCAGTAAATAATGGGCATTTAAAAATGTATACAAGATACCAGGGTTAAAGTGATGAACAAGTTAGCAAACCATTTTTAAAGGAGGGATGTGGTAAAGCCATAATTTTAACATAAATAAAACAGATTTGTTTTCCTCACACTTTTCTTTTAAAATACTGACTAAATTATTGCTTCAGCAACCTACTATTTATAAATGTCTACTATTTATAAGGGGAGTGTGATAACACTTTTGCATTTTAAACAGTATGTATGTCTAGCTCTAGAGTGAGTCTACAGTACTCATCTTGAGTACTAGATTCTAGAATTTATAATAATAATTATTAATTGTAATAATTAATTATAAGGCAATATAAGGGTCTATAATAATAGCCTAAATAGTGTAAATAGGCCTAATAAAATAATGTATAGCCAAGTAAACATGTGTTTAAATTTAATATTAAATCCAACTTAAAGCATAAAAAAGCAAAGTCGTATTGCTGATGCATACTGTCTACCTTTATAAAGACGTCCAGATTGTGGTTTGCTGCGTTTGATATGATCGTAATTTATAACTTTAACACTGTCCACCGCCATTTCCAAACAACGACCAATGCACTCATAAAATAGCATTGATGCGCATTACAAAAAATATATTTAAATGCATCTGTAACTATTAAAAATTCAATGTTATCGGTATCAAAATGTTTGGCTAATTTTAGAAACTATACATTAGATACATTTTATTTTATTGGTGTTACTATGCATTTTTTAATGCTATTATATAACAGGGCTCAATAATTCGCATTTGCTTGGTTACGGGGTCAAGTGTCATGTTGATCAGCTGTACGTCAAAATTTTCCAGATCAACTATTGACCATAATATTAACTTTATTAGTTTATTTTCACTTTTTAGAGACATATTTAAAAGATTGTTGTAGATTTTTATAAATCAGCAAATTATATTTTAATCTTTAATGTTAAATAACAGGGTGTTACATAAAGAAAAAACAAAGAAGAAAAGCGCGGAATGACCTTGACTTTCATCAAGCCGGGCGGCTTCGATACTACTAATACTTTCGATACACAATCCATCAATACAAATTCTATCGCCTACTTTTATTGTCGTGACTGCTTTATCATCATATAATTTCAAAATGGTCAAAAAAGCGGGAATGTTAGAAGAAATTAACTTGTTCATACGTAAGATAAGCATGACTGAACATGTTTCACTTGTAATTTGTTCTTGTAGGCCTATGTTCACGCATACTTAGACCAGGTAGATAAACAGATCTATACTTCACCCAGTTCTCCTAGGCTACTTAATGTGAGGATATTATGAAACAAAACAAAAACACTTTCAGCCACCCCTTATAACGTGGCATTGTACTTAAAGACTTATAACATTCCACCTTTTCATACAACTTTTAAAGGACAGCCTTCACGCCCCCCCCCCCCCCACCACGTCACAATGTAACAACAAACAGAGTGATATTAAGAAATAAAAATATAGAGATAACCCCCAGAAAGGGTTGTAGGCAGGGTTTCTTCCAGGCATCTCTTCGGGGGGGGGGGGGGGTTATATAGAAAATATATACTTTCAACAGTGTCAGCCCCCCCCCCCCCGGAAAATTTAGCCCTCCTTCCCCTTCCCCCACCCCCCGAGAAATAAAAAGACTGGAAGAAACACAGGCTGTAGGCTTTTGTCTATGCGTGAATCACAAGTCAAAGGCAAAGAAGAGGGGAGCTTTGTGAACAGCAGTCAATTAAACAGAAGAAGAATTGGCCTAAATGATGAAAAGGAGTTTGTTTTATTTGCTTTTTAATTGAAGTTTGGCTCAGCAAAAACAAAAGATAGGTTTAGCGTAATGAAACTATATTTTTTGTAATTAATTGTTAAGCTAAAGAAAGTACAAACATGAAAATCTATAGAAAGTCTCGTTTGTTGTTATTGTTTAACTAACAAACAAAAAACGATAGAAAAAATATAAATATCAATAAAACTGAAACATATCTCGCGACATTGAAATTTCGCTTTAAGTTAATGTTTTGGGTTTTGAAAAAAAATATTTCTCTACTAGTTAAATTTTCTCCTTTAAGAATTTCCACTTTGATTTAAGGTCGGATTATGTCACGATTAGAATTTTCATGATTTTAAAACCAAAGTATCATTCTGCTTTCCACTGAGAAGCGATAAGTACGTAGACTAACATCGGTTATCGCTGTTCATATAACATGGTGGGAAAATACTTCAGGATTCTATTGAAACTTCTAGAAAGATGGGCTAGAAGCTGGCGCTGTTACTGTAATTTTAATATTGACATAACTTGTTATTTCAACGTTCAAGCTTGACACAAGTACAGACTCTAGTATCAGTAAAGTGAGAACAATTTAGAGACACAGGATCTGAACTTACCACTCCACACCGTATTGAATAGCCTTGCCAACCGTGAATCTAAATCTATAAAACCCCACGTTCGCACCTCTCTCTCTCTCTCTCTGTCTGTCCGCAAAATATTTTCGCCGGACATCACGTCAGAAACGGCAGCGATATATGGAGAACTTTATACGGACTTTTGTTGAAAATAATATGTTAGATGTTTTAAATGTATAACCACAATTTTATTTAAAGAAGAAAAATAAAAATTAAAGGCGTATTCGAATGTAGAGAAACAGTATTATTTATGCAACCGGAAAAGCATTAATATATGTGAAAAAGAACGCATAAAACTGTGACGTCACTATTGCTTATACATTAACTAATGACGTCATCTGCCGTGTTTAGAATAAAAAGAAATGAACTATTTCATTCAAATTTGATTTAGATCTACGTACACTATGAAATGTATACAATACAATTTTTCCGGCCTAAACTCATAAAATTTATTTTATGTATTTGGATTCTAGATCTAGAGATTCTAGATCTAGACTAAATCTAAATCTAAATCTACGCAATAACTAGATCTAGACGTAGACGCTAAGATCTAGATTTAGACTCTAACTTCTCTAAAATCAATTCCAAAAATAAATTTCTATATTAGGACTAAACTATTTCAAGACTTATTTATTTTATACAAAATCTTTGTTTGGAACTGGCTAATTTGGGATAAAAAAATTAATTTGAAAGAATAGGCATATTCGCGTAAGTTAAGATTTTAAAATACGTGTTTCATTCTCCGTATATTATAAGGTGCCTAAATAGCGGAGATGTTAGTGTACATCAGGGGTCTCCAAACTACGGCCCGCGGGCCGCATGCGGCCCGCGAGTTCCTCTCATCCGGCCCTCGGAAATCTTTTTGTCCACGGAAAAAATGTTTGTTGGAGGTGGCTGAAGAATTCAAAACTAACTGAAAATGTGGCATTGAGTGCAAATACCATTGAAGTAAATGTGAGCAGTTACCCAGCAAAAGGGGGGGGAGTGGCGTTCTTGTGGCGGGGGGGGGTGCCTCCGTCACCAAAAGAGATGCCTGGAAGAAACTCTGGCCCTCGAACTCATATTTGATAGTTGATGCGGCCCTCGGGCTGAAAAGTTTGGAGACCCCTGGTGTACATTAAACCACGCAGGTGGTGCGGGTTCGAGACACACCAAGTCAACTTGGTTAATGTATTTTTTTAAATTATGCTCGGGCTAAACTTAAAAAAAAAATTCTTTTAGGAATCTAGATCTAGATCTAGATTGTCGGGTGTCCGATAGGGCACTTCCCGGCGCCGCAGGCGCTTCAAATTTGGCAGGACCTTGCCTTGGGGCGACAGAACATGGGGGCCGGTTGGCCGAAAAGTCTACGATGAGGGGGTCAAAACTGACCTCGACTGACCGGTACCTTATATGAGCTATAAATTTAAAAAAAATGTCCATAACTCTTGAGGTCGTAGACCGACCCTCGGGCGAATTAATTAAGCATTCAAATTCTCAATGTTTTCGAAAGCCTAAGCGAAGCTGGGCAGCATGCCTAGTAAGGTGAGAATTGGTAACACTATAATTAGCCTTACTAATTGAGCGTTTCTGAACGTCCTCTTTCATAACCTTAGAAACACAACAATAGACTTTTATTGACCTATACTGGACGAGACCATCTGGCTAAAATTGTTCTGTCTTTACCAGGATTGTATTCTACAGAGCAGTGGCGTAGCTAGGATTTTTGGGCCCCTATGCAAAAAGTGTTAGTGCCCCCCCCCCCTCCCTCAGAGGCGTAGCGACCCTCCCCGGCGACCGGGGACAAACTTTCGATTTGCAACCCCCCCCCTCAGACTTTCGATCTGATCTGCACCCCCACCCCCCCTAAAACTTTCGAAAAAGGACCCCTATTTGCCTTGGGCCCCTATGCTTGCTTACGCTAGCTTTACGGTAGCTACGCCACTGCTACAGGGGCTGTGTACTTACCTTTAACATTGAAATAACCAAGTCAAATTCGCTACTGAACCTACTCAAAATATGATAAAACACTGGTTTATTAGTAAATTTGACAATTTTTTATTTGGTGTCACCCCTTGAACGGTGACATCACCCATTCAGTGTTTCTTTCAGACTTTTTCACCGCGGGCGGTGAGAGGGGCACTTGAAACTTTCGAGTGGGTGGGGGAGCGGACACTGGTAAAAGTATATATTTACTATGTACTTTCTATTTCGTTTGGACAGATGCCTGAAAGAAACTCTGCAACCGATGCGGACCGCACCCCACTCCCGTCTTGTGACGCTGCTGTTTCTAATTCATTCGCGTTATGGTTTATTCATGTCTCGCGAAGTTGTTTTTATAGTTCCCCACCATACAAAGCTCGAGTCACAGAAGCAAACTGCTAATGTATCTCGAGACCAATATCAACACCACATACAAACATAGGGTTCGTCCATAAATGACTCGTAGGGGGGAGGGGGGTCCGTAATTTTGTGACGCTGTGTGATGAGAGGGAGGTTCAGATGGTGTGACGTCACACTTTAGCATTATAAAAAAGCAATGTTAGAAAACGAATTTTAGCCGTTATTTCCCGTTCTAGAAAACTGTTAGGGGTCGGCGTGGTCGAGTCGGTAAAGCTCATGGTTGCTAAACCGAAAAGTCTCGAGTTCGAACCCTCGGGCAGGTGAGGCTCCTTAGCTGGGGACAGCCACTCTTCTAGGAGAGACAACTCCAAAATGAAACAACTGTTGCCTTGTAGTTTGTTCTTGGTTGGACAAAGGCTATGGAAGCAAATCCAAAAAAGAAAAGCAGGCTGAAATCAGAGTCAATGGCCTCAATGGCGCATAACCAGTTGACACGTAATGCTTAATTGTGTTGGAGGCGTGGTCGAGTCGGCAAAAAGCTCATGGTTGATAAATTCGAACAAAGTCTCGAGTTCAAACCCACTGGCAGATAAATCTCGATCCCCTTCAACACTAATAATTAAGAACGAAGAAGAAGAAGAAGAAGAAGAAAACTGTTTTAATAAATTGTAATAGGAATTGATCAAAATACTCTATTTTTGACGGAGTTCTGATAAGATTTTGGAAAAAATATCGACGTTTTAAGAAAAATTCAACAGTAATTTTGAGGGGGGGGGGGGGAGGGGTTGTAATTAAGCTGAGGTGGGGGTCTGGTTTTTGTGACGATGTGTGACGGAGGGGAGGGGGGGGGGGAAGGTAAACATCGTCCAAAAAGCGTGACGTCATTTATGGATGACCCCCATAGCTGAGGAAAGAGTTACATTTCTATTGGTTGATGAACTACATGCTGATAACGAGGGATTATATGTCTGAGTTAGAGTAATGTACAACTCCTGGAAGAGATATTCCAAGCCTTTGACAAGTGAATTCCAAGCCTTTGACAAGTGAATTACAAACCTTAGTAGATTACAAAGTCGAATGAAAACAAATCAAAGTTGATCTAGTTCCGAATGTTGTAGTCCATTGTAGCATTGTTAAATAAAATAATAAAATTCATGAAAATTATTTTTTAAGAGTAGTCATATACATATGTAAGATACGAGGCTATACCCGCTTAGTTCATTCCCACATTTTTTTTCTTTTATTTATGTCATATATTTTATTTTTAATTGGTAGAAGTGGACGAAGATACTAGTGCGAAGATAGATCTAGATCTACATCTAGAAATCAAGATTTTTTTCTATATCTAGATCTAGGCCTAATTGCGCTTTTTTTCCGCCTTATAAAGCTAGTTGAGTTCTCATATCGATACTAATTCTAAATCCGCATCGATACGAAGGTTTAGCCCACCAAGCAAACTAACCAATCAAAACGCTCACATCTGGCAACAAATCGTGTGCCAGAAACAAGAAAATTGCGGGTAAATTAAACATTAGTTTGTGTATCCGTGGCAAAGAGAACAGACGTTTTCTTCACTTCAGAAATAATATTGCAATACTGAATTGAACAAGATGACTTCTGCTATTATTATGTCTCGTATCGAATCTGATTTGTCAGCTCAATTGAAATCATCAAAGATCAACGACGAAAACAAGGTACATTTACTATTTAGAAATTTATATTTTATAATATAATTTTGTGATGTACTGTCTGTTTTTGTCCTGTGTTGTAGCTCTGTTACTGTTATGTAAGATTTGTAGATTGTTATGTAATAAATTGTTTTAATTTTTTATCAGACTTTGTTCACAATTGTTAAAAATGCGAATGACATGCTTGGTCTGTGGATCTAAATCTAGTTAATTAGATGTTAATAAACATCTGTATGATGCCCTAACCTTCTAGAACAAGCTGGCTGCCAACTGAACATTTAATTTTGTAGGCCCTAGGGGAGACTGCTCTAACTTCGACCGGGTTCTAACTTCGACCGAATTCGGTATTGGGTCAGAAAAATATTTGATAAAAAAATAAATAAATATTACTGGCTTTAAAAAAATATATCTTTATTTACACAATTGAATTGCGTTGTGTTTTCCTTTTGAAATGACAGGTCTATCTTTAGCCGTTTTCGAGCACTTTATCCACGAAGTTAGGCTAGTTAGCGTCCGTGAGTTTTATCGAGTGAAAATATCAAATTTGCATTTTGTGAGCTTTTTAGTGCCTTCTTTCATAATGCCTAAAACGTAAGTAATTTTGCTTTTAACAGTTTTTAAACTTGAAAATAAATTATAATGTTGGTTAATCTACATATGTGTGCTTTTTTTTTTTTTTTTAGGGTTGTAAAAATTTAAAAAAATAGTGAAAAACAAATCGGTCGAAGTTAAAACCATGTAAAAAATGCGGTGTTCTAACTTCGACCGATGTAACCAAATGTAGATCTACATAGGAACCTAGCATAAAGTAGGCCTATAATTGTACTAGATCTATTAGATTAGGCATATTAGTTTATTTTTTTTCCTTTAATTTAAATTTATTAAAAACAACTGACATATGCTTTATCAACAGACCAAAAGATAAAAAAGAAAAAAGGTCGTATATTTCGTATGAAACGGAAAACCTAGAAAAGGCTGTAGATGCAGTAAGACAGGGCATGTCTTATGGCAAGGCAGCATTGCAGTTTGGGGTGCCCAAAACAACTATTATTGACCATGTTAAGGGCCGAATAAAAGCAGGGTCTAAGCCTGGTCGAAGCTGTGAAATTGACCCTGCTTTAGAAAAACAGATAGTATCGAGAGTCCTCGATGCTTCAAAAGCGGGGTTTCCATATACAAAACGCCGGCTTCTAGCAATGGTAGGAAACATTGCAAGGCGTCTGGAAATAAAAACAAGATTCAAAAATGGTGTTCCTGGAGAGGGGTACTGGAGGAAATTGAAGGGGAGGCACCCTGAACTGACCATCCGGAATCCAGAAGCCTTACCACAGTGTCGAATGACAATGCTCAACAGCAATGTTGTAAAAAACTACTTTGAAGCTCTAGGGAAGCTGTTAGACGATCTGCAGCTTACTTCGCGGCCTAAATGCATTTGGAATTGTGATGAGACTGGAGTACAGTTACAGCACAAGCCAACAAAAGTAGTTGCCCAGAAGGGAGTAAGAGGGGTGTCAGCACGTGTGACAGGGTCTCGTGAAAACATAACCATATTTGCCACCATTAATGCCGCTGGCGAGTCAATGCCCCCCATGATAATAGTGAAGGGCAAAACCCAGCGAGCAGTTTCGTCGTTCAACGTCTGTGATGCGCCAAAGGGAGCTGTGTAGACTTATCAGGAGTCTGGGTGGATGGAAGATCTTTTGGGAGTCCAATGGTTTAAGCAAGTTTTCCTTAAACATTGTGGCCCAGACCGCCCCCAGCTTCTCCTGTTAGATTCACACAGCTCCCATGAGGTTGTGGATCTGCTGGAAACAGCAAGGAATGAAAATATACACATATTCGCCTTGCCACCCCATACAACACACAAGTTGCAGCCGTTGGACAAATGTGTCTTTGGGCCGTTTAAGAAATATTATGGTGCAGAATGCACTGAATTTCTTTCGGAGCACCCGGCAAACGTGATCAGTAAAGTCACATGGACTAAACTGTTCACTGCCGCATGGAGCCAAGCCTTTTGCCCAAGCACCATCAAAAAAGCTTTTCAGGCCACCGGAATCTATCCGTTTGATCCAACGGTTGTCACAAAAAGTGACACATTGCCAAGTGAGGCATTTGACCGGCAAGCACCTTCAACACTAGTTGCAAGCGATCAAAATCAACCTATTGCTTCTGTCTCTCAGGATATGGCCATGTTCGAGGAAGCATATGCTCCCTCTGCTCCTGAAGCAACAATGGTCGACGCAGATGTCCTCAACACTGACCCATGGTGGTCACCTCCTGAGGACCAAAATGAAAGTAGGCCTATCGGCGAAATACGTGCTACGGGTGCTAACGAAAACTTTTCGGACATCCTAAAGCTTGCCATGGACATAAGTGGCATCGAAGAGGATGAAGCCGTTAACCAAGCAAGTGGAAGTGAAACACATGAGAAATGGTTGGCGGAATTATCAAGCGTTTTTGATAAACCCGTCTTGCCAACGGCGGAAAAAAAAAGCTCATCACGGAAAATTACAACTCACAGGTTGTTGACCAGTGATGAGGTAATAGGAATGAAGAAAAGGCAGGCCGAGGAAAAGGAAAGCAAGTTGAATGAGAAGAAAAGACGGGCAGATGTGAGAAAAGAAAAGGCTGCAAAAAAATTAAATTAATGATGTGTTGTAGGCTCGCCTACATGTGTTGTCTGTAAATTACTATAAATATTTTTTCCTTTTTTACTGTTAAAAATGTCGTTGTGTTTACTTCTTTTTTTGTTTTTGTTTTCAATTGAAGATAAAGCTAGCCTATTTAAAAACCTTTAAATACACAACAAAGGCCACCTAAATAAGTGTTTTTAACAATAGGCCCAGGCTACGGTCATATTCCTAAAGCGGTCGAAGTTAGAACAAGCCGCCGGTCGAAGTTGGAGCAACCTGGTCGAAGTTAAAACCAAAAGGAAATATTTGGGTCAGTGTCTAGGCTTGCATATAGTATTAAATCCTTCATAGCGATTGGTTAACTATTTATACCAAACCAATCAGCGTTGGAGAACGTTTTTAACAGTGAAAAAATTATACCGCTATGTTGATTGGTTTACGAGATATAACGAAGAGAAGCGAACCTTCGGCTCGGGAGAAAACGGATCGGTCGAAGTTTGAGCAGTCTCCCCTATCGATTTTTTTTTCGCGGGAAAAAGCTCACGGAAGAGTGAAGAGTCATTGTTTAAAAGTGGGCGTTTTTTAAGGGCACGTAGAAATCTAGATCTAGAATCTAGATCTAGAATCTATCTACTTATTATAGGCCTACTCAATATTGTAGTTTGAGATCTAGACGTCTAGCTAGATCTAGATCTATCTAGATTCCTAGATCTTAGAACAAATTAGTTGAATAATGATGTAGTTTACTGAAGGGTGCTGATGATGCAATGCCAATAAAGTTCTCAAAGGGGCTGACAGATCTAGAATCTAGATCTAGATTCTACTGGACTGGTAGATCTAGATCTACTGATCTAGACTTTAGCTAGATCTAGAATCTAGATATCTACTAAAAATCTATCTAGACTCTAGCTAGACTCAGCTAGAGCTAGACAAATTAATTTCATAATTTGGCCAAGGGCCCTAGGCCTTCTTAATACTAATTAATGAAGCTGATAATCTAGATCTAAAGTAATCTAATATAGAATCTAGATCTAGGCCTAATAGATTCGATACATTAGGACTACTAGGTCTAGAATCTAATAATTAATTGAATCTCTCTTGATTAGTAGATCTAGTTCTAGTAAGAGTAGTGTGGTTAAGCAGGCCGAAACAAATAGGCCTAAGGCTATTTTTAAAATATGAAATTTACTAGGATCCCTACAGATCTATTTGTGTAGGCCTAGAATCTTAGCTTTGTCTGGTCTAGATTCTAGATTTTTCTACATCTAGATTAAGAGTCTAGCTAGAATCTTCATCGGGGAAAGGAATGTTGCACTTAAATATTTTAATTATCCCTCTCCAGATGTAGAATGTATGCATTATATGATAGATTTGAATGTAGGCCCAGGTTTTTTTTTAGTACTTTCAACAACATAGGCCTAAAAAATTCATGAGATTGGTGCAGTGAAATTTCTACTTGGTTTTTATATTTATAACACCCTAGAAACGAAAAGTGCTAAAGAAATTGATGTGCAACATTATGACTATGAAAACAATATCATGTTGCAATCTTAATCATTAAATATATAGTTAGACTAGTCCATGTCTAACGAATTTGTAATCTCTCTAAATTGGGCTTGTGTGGTTTGTCCTTGCCTTGCAGTTCCTATTTTTACTGATGCAGCTTAAAGCTGCACACATTTATTTCTCAGAAGCTAAGCTCTCAGCCATAACCATATCTATTATATTTCATTTGGGTCAGTGTTACTAGTTTATCTTTGATCCCTTCTTTGCTGGACTGCAGTTTTTAATAATTATTCATCTGCATTTCTAAATGTGTTTTGGAAGACATTAAGGTGGCTAGTTTTTTTATGAAACTATAGTTGCATGTTATTGAAGCTGTAGCCTTTTAACATTTAAGTGACTTTAAGGCATTGTATGGTCATCTTTATAGTTTCACTTTAAAGTTTAAACTTTTTTTCTTTCCCAGGCACCTGTGTCTAAAAATACACTAAACCAACGTAAACCACTGGGAACAAGTCAGTTACAGGTGAGCAATCTAATCTAAATGATATTTAGACGGTTAACAAAATTTGTTGTAAGCTTACCTAACATTAACATTGTTTTAAAATTTTCTTACATCCTTTTTTTTTACATTTGCAGAATTCATTAATTGAACAAAGTTCTGATAAATTAATTACCAAACAAGAGGTAAGTTTCTAATGAATTCAGTTTTCTTAGCTACTGTTGTTTGATAAAGATATTTAAAATTAGTACATAGTGAACTTAATAATTTTTTATTAAATAGTAAAAATGCGAAACTTAATTAAAATTTTATTATAAACTTAAAAGGTGAAATTATCAGTGAATGTGGATTTAAAGGTCAGATGTTAAAATTGAGCATTATGAAACCATGCACATCAACTTGTTTTCTTTATTTCAAAATATTTATGCAACATTTCATGTTTTCATAAACAAATTCACAGCAAGATTAACATTGAAGAATGTTTCCATATCTTTCCAGCCAGTAAAAGTAGAGTCAAAACCAGTTGCCAAGAAGGAGCTTCTTGAAGAACCTTTGCTGAAAGAAAACCCCAACAGATTTGTGCTATTTCCTATCCAGTACCATGATATCTGGCAGATGTATAAAAAGGCAGAAGCCTCCTTCTGGACAGCTGAGGAGGTGGATTTGTCTAAGGACCTGGATCATTGGGAAAAATTGAAGCCAGAAGAGAAACATTTTATCTCCCATGTTTTGGCTTTTTTCGCAGCCAGTGATGGCATTGTTAATGAAAATTTGGTAAGTTTTTAGTGTTGAAACTTTAGAATTGTAATGTTAACATAATTTAGTAGCTAAAACTGTTAGTCGATACTTTTTAATTGTGCTTTAATTCACCACTTACTGGTTGCAACTAATTCTTTGAAAAAGTTCTGTTGTCCAGTTTCTACTTCACTTATATTTAAATAAGACACCAGCGAGAAAAGTCTCAAAGGTATTTGAGAGGTCCATAAATTAATTTAAAAATCTTGCACTCCGTAGTTACAATTAATATGGTTATAAAATCCTGTCTGTCTGGGTTTTTTCGGACTTTACTAAAGATTGGATGTATTTGATGTTTTAAATATTTTCGGTAACTAAATAAAAAAATTTTAAAAAATTCGATAGGCCGCCATAAATTTTATTGTACACATTGTAAGTTAAAAATAGAAAAACTAGGTCATGGTGTTTAAATTTGCCATGTTATTTAAAAACTTGATCTGCAAAGTTTTGTAAACAAAATAACTAAAGTGCGGCTGTTAGAAATCGATCACTGAGTTCCTTTACAGCCAATCAGTGTTTATCTTACGAAAGTGAAACATCGGGTTATAACTTAGGCTTGATGAAAATAAATAGAAATGTAGCCTTAAACTCAACAAATTATTTTCAAGTTCTCTGGATCTGCAACTTGTATAGCATTGATTCTAAAAATATTAAATTTCTGAATTAATTTTAGGCTTAAGTTTTTAATAAAATTTTATCTTTTATTATTTTTATCTTCCTAAATCTAAAGAAACACATTTATATTCCATGTCAACAACATTACGGAAGGATTTTCATCAACTCGCTGGTGTCATTAATTCTTGTTAGTAAGGTCAAATCATGTTTAAACCACTCATGCACTAAACTCTGGAGATTTTAAAATATTACTTTCCTTCTCCAGGTTGAGAGGTTCAGTAAAGAGGTCCAAGTAACAGAGGCTCGTTGTTTCTACGGCTTCCAAATTGCTATGGAAAATGTTCACAGTGAAATGTACAGTCTACTCATTGACACATACATTAAAGATTCAAAAGAAAGGTTTGTCACTCAGCAGTATTATTCTTAAAAGTAAATTATGAAATTACTAACCTTTCAATCTTTATTTGTTAAAAAGTTTCCTAGTTTGTATATTGATAAAAAAAAAATTTCCTTTTTCAGAGATTTTTTGTTCAATGCCATAGAAACTCTGCCATGCGTGACAAAGAAGGCTGAATGGGCTATCAAGTGGATTGGTGATGAAGAGCACCCATACAGTGAAAGAGTGGTTGCTTTTGCTGCTGTTGAGGGGATATTCTTTTCTGGTTCCTTTGCTGCCATTTTCTGGTTGAAAAAACGTGGAATCATGCCTGGTCTTACCTTCAGCAATGAATTGATTAGCCGTGATGAGGTATGATGGTGTTAAATTTTTTTTTTAATTGTATTAGGTTGCAGTTTTCTAAAACATTTATTTGAAAAACCATTATCCAAGCTCTAATTGATATTAATCATATTTTGAATAAGATTTTCTAAAATTTTGATCGCAAATATTTTTTGGAAATTTCCACCTGCTAATACTGCAAATGTTAAAATTTCCTAATTATTTCCCAATTTTCTAATGTCTCAATAATCATATTTCAGGGATTACATTGTGACTTTGCCTGCCTGATGTTCAAACATTTGTTAAACAAGCCTTCCCAGGATCGCATTTATGAAATCATTAAAGACGCTGTGGTTATAGAACAGGAGTTCCTCACAGATGCTCTGCCAGTCAACCTAATTGGCATGAACTGCAACTTAATGAAACAGTATATTGAATTTGTTGCAGACAGGCTCTTAGTGGAGTTGGGGTGTGAAAAAGTAAGTATCTGGTAGTAGTTGCTAGCTGTACAATTACATACTTCGTTGTGTGGATTTTGTAATCTATTAACCCTGAGCATTTTACTTCCTGTATGGCCAAGCTATTTTCAACTTTTTAAAAAAAAAGCATAATGAAGTAAAATTTGAGTGTATAATGTACAAGGCAGATATCTTCCTAATAGTTAACTAATAATAAAAAATGACATCACAGAAAACAAATTGTTTCAGCGGACATTTCAAAATAATTTAAATTAAAACAATTCCGAGTTGCTTGAGCTTTTTTTTTTTCTCCAAGATCACTTTTGGTCACAATATACCACCTGATTCAAAAGTTGATGCATTTTAATTCTTAAATTCCCTACTATATAGCCTATAATAGTTTTAACTAATTTGTTACTAATGCAACTGAATGAGGCAGGTTAGGTTAGGTTTCCCTGTCATCCCTCCTGGGACATAGGCTGCTGACAAGAGCTTTCCAGGCATCTCTGTCCTGGGCTAGTCTCTCCAACTGTCCCCAGGTGTAGGATAAGATAGGCTTTTGTAGCAAATGAGTTAACTTGACGTCATTTGTGGGGAATGAATTGCTAGTGATAGAACAAGAAGATAATTACATGGCTTTTTCCTGATAAGATTCTTATTTTTCTAACTCATTTCAAAATTTAATAGAGCCAGTTTCCATGCTTCTTGTTACCTTATACTTGTTGCATGTAAATAAAAGTACTACACATTTGTGCATTCTAATGCATTAGATTACTACATATCCTGGAATTGATTGTTAACCCATGTATATTTCTTCTCTTTAGTGCTACAACTCAGAGAATCCTTTTGACTTCATGGAACACATATCATTAGAGGGAAAAACAAACTTCTTTGAGAAGAGAGTGGGAGAGTACCAGAAAATGGGGGTGATGAACAAATCCCCCACAAGCCACCAGTTCTCTCTGGAAGAAGACTTCTAAACCTCACTCATCTCTCTCAACCCCTCATCTTGCTCTGTACAGATCTCTCTAATGTATTGTTTTAAAACTACTCCACAATCATTATAGGTTTTATACATGTTTACTTAGAAAGTTTTAACACTGCCTCTTTTTACTGAGCATTTAACTTGAAATTCTTTTAATTTGGCATTATTTTTAAGAACTATTTATATTAATGGTACACGTGGTTTGTAGTGTTAAAATTTTTACATTTATTTAATGTCTGCATTTTAAAGACTTAGTCTGTCTGTGTTGTATTTGTAAATTATTTTGAGAATGCATGACTTATGAAGCAAGAATTTCTAAAATACTGATGGTATGGTGCTAAATTCAATATGTGCAGGTCATTTTCTTATGATAATTTATAGATTTGACAACAGTAATTTTTGACTGGTTTTTATGTGGCATTCATAATTAATACCTGTATATAATAAATTTTAAATGCATTAATTTATTTGTAATAAATATTTGTGATAAATTAAACGGTTCTTTTGTATTATATTTATTCATAATTGTTAGACACTGTTGAAATGTGTGCTCACTAGAGTAAACCTTTAGCAATGCTGGTGTAATGAGCAAGATGTCATAACCCTTATGGTCAAGTTTAAAAAAAACTTACCGACTGAAGCTATTGTGGGAGTATGTCTGGGGAACAAGTCTTCAAAAATTCAGCATTAATCATACTCAAGTATTTTAACAACACCCATCAGGACGAAGTAATCAGAAAAGAAATGAATGAAATTTAGATTTTAGTTTGGGTAATAATTGTTTTGGAGGTCCTTTCAAGGTTCTGGATTAGGAAGTAATCCGTTAATTTTGAAAACATGCTTGCAACTTTCTGTTTCTTCTGTGAAGTCACATGGGGCAGATGAAGTTGACTTAATGTTTCAGAGACCTCTTCTCCATAATGTAGGTACCCATCAGGGCTGGGTGGACTAAGGAGCATCCTACTGTTCAGTTGAACCTGAATTTGAACTTGAGACTTTTGGTTCAGCGAAGCAGCTCACTACTGCTAGGCCATCTGCCCCCTAACAAAAATAACTATTTTAATTTATTTCAATAATCATGGACACCATTAGTAGATCTGTTGTAAGGTATAGGGGCGGCATGGTCAGTCAGGTGGTAGTACAGCTCCTTAATGTATGTAGTGCTAACCAAAGTTAATTTCACCTAGATGGAAATCTAAATATGGATGCTGGTCTAAACAAATGAATTGTACTTAGCCAATAGAAAGTAGTATAATGAAGGTCATGTATGGATATACATAATATACAGTTTTAAAGCCATTACCCTTTACACTACACCATGTTTAAATAATTAGATCTAGTTCCTAGGTCCATTTGAATTGAAGAAAATAAAACCCCATAGCAACTCAATTACTCAACCAGGCTGGGCTAAAAGTTAAAAACCAAACAACAAACTTTCAGAAATGTGTTTATTGGTTTTATTTGTCATTAAAATGTCTGGCAAATTGTACAGTGAAAGACTAACCATGTAAAGGATATAACTGACTACAACAGCCTGAAAAATGGAACTCAAAAGTTCACAATTATGGACAAAGCAATGGTCAAGCTAATAATTTAAACACATAATTATTGTCAAGTCTCTCCAATCTTTAGTCAACCTTCACTTGACAAATGGTCATTTACATGTTTCATGGATGATTTTAAATTGTGAATGATTGTGGAAATTTTTAATATATAAATGTTCATGGGTGATTTTGAACTATGAATGATTATGGAAATTTAAAAATCATCCACACACATTTATAAATTTAAAACTATGATATGAATGAATCTGGACATTCTAAAATATATAAATGTATATGGGTGATTTTAAATTTAGATGTTTGAATAACTTTAAACAAGAATGATAAAAGAAACAGTAAAAAAAATATACTATTGAACTATAAAAAATAACAATGAAACTTCTGATGGTCCAACTTGAGTGAGTTGTCTTGTAAAAAAAATTAATAATTTGTATCATACATTCAGAAGTGTTCATGGCTGTCATCCATCATATAAAAATGACAAGAAAATTAAATAAATATGCAATACACATACTCTATATCTTAGTCACATATGTATCACAAGGTAAAAAAAAAATGTATGAGGAATTTTTAAAATAAATTTCACAGACCAGTCTGTTGTTTAAACTAACCCATCTAAACTTTTGTTGTTTAGAAAGGCTTTGATATGTGTATCATTTTTATTTTTTACAGCTTTCTGTATGCAGTTTACCTCAAGCTTAAGTTAGGTAAGTGATCAAATTTTTTGCAAAAAAAAAAAAAAAAATTCTTTTGTTTTACTTATTACACTTATGTGCAAAAACAGCATAAATGATTACCATTTCAAAAATAAAACTAAAGGTGCTAGACAGACAGTAAAAATAAAATAAACTTTCTTCAATTGCTAGTCTTGCAATTTAAATAATTAACTTTCTAAATTTGAAAAAGCTACTTTTCACTATTGTAAAATATTAAATTATTTCATCCATAAAAACGAAAACATGTCTGATTTTGTTGATTACATTAATGATATGTGAGTCCCATAAATACTTTACTGGCCAAATATAACAAACGGACAAAAAAAGAAAATTACAAAACAAAATCATTGTCTTAGTTTACCCATCCCACATATTACTCTTTCCCAAGACATAGCTTGAACTACTTAGGCGCCGATTTATGGAATAAGCTTCCTAATACACTAAAACAGAACCCTCGATGACAGAAGATGTATTTCAAAATAAAACTTAAAAATTTTTTTATTTTTTTATTTATCACCTTCTGGGGCTCTTGAATTGAATCACATCAGTGTTTCGTAAAATTCTAATTCTATTTAACTGCGTATCCCAACTTCGTAAATATGAATTCCTTTTTTCTACATTTTAAATGTAAATATGAATTCCTTTTTTCTACATTTTAAATGTTATTCTATGCATTTTTCTTTAAAAAATAATTACGTTGTACATTTGTTTTTAACAGCCATTGCAAAAAAAACAAAAGGCCTCCATTTCTACTACAGTTACCAATGAAAAATTATTACTTGTTACTATTGGCTCAACTTCTAAATAATATAAAGATACTAACTGTTTTGTTAATTACAATGTTTACAAATGACCTAGGACATTATGCTCATCATTAACAAAAAACAGTTGCAATGAATAACACCATGCTAATGTAAAGTGCTAACTTAGGCCACAGGTAGCTGTGAATAAGTTTATTCTAATTATATCATTAGCTTATTAGATTTCAAAAGAACCTTTCAATAATGATGTTTATGAAAAATATTTCACTAAAAACATTTTTTTTATTATCTAATACTTGGTATTAAAGGTTTAATTCCATTCTTCACTGTCTAATGTGAAATAAATTAAATCAATTTGAAAAATAATTTTTTTTTGACACAACATTTATCAGGAACTTCTAAGAACACATTTAAATTACTAAGTTAGATGATATTTTTAAAAAGTTGGAAGTACTTTTTTAGGACTGATTTCATTCAATGTAGGCCTAGCCTGCTGGTGAAAATTACATTTGACTGAAAATCTTGAAGATCGTAAAAGATTTCACAGAAAGCTGAACCATCTACATTTAATTGCGTATGTGCATGCATGAATATTCATAATAAAGCAGAAGAACACCCTCAACCTATACAATGTACATGAAGATTTAAAAACAAAACAGGATAAGATAGAAGTTGTTAATATACAAAGATAGAGTATTGTTGGTACCACCAACTCTAAATACACAGCTCAGTCATCTTCAACAAGCAAATGATGAAACAAAGAACAATAACCACAAACTGGCATACAAAGGGAGGTGAACACTTTTTTCTATGATAATAAAAACAGTAGGCAGGGGTGGACTGGCTGTGTCCAATATGGGAGGGGAAATGTTAAAAAGGGGGCTCCCAACCCCAGGTTGAAATTTTCATTTTTTATTTTCTTCCATCAAAGCATGAACCTTGAAAGAATGGTAAAATACCAACATTTTTAAAAAAAATGCAAACACTAATAAGTGTATAACAGCACCATTCCCAGGGGGCCCAGAGAGAAATTTTCTTGGGGGCCCACAGGAATTTTTCCTGGTAGACCAGGAGGCCAGTCCAACCCTGACAGTAGGTGCCATGTCATGGTTCTAGAACTTTCCAAGAATAAAAGGATGTTTTTTTTTTCAGGAATACAACACACCATTTAACTCAAATTAACAAGATAATTTCCTAGGATATAGATATATGATGTTATAGTCAAGTTTCCATAACATTGTATTTTCTTTTTTAACAAAGTAACCACATGATTATGCAAATAAGAAATTATAATAACTCGCAACACTAGGCTAGCTAGTGCTCAGAAAAGATAACACAGTTATAATGTTATTCTAGCTTAAATTTCATTAAACCAGTCAATTGATAAAGCCAAATGATTTTACTTACTTTACATGAAATACTTAATTCCATGTTTTATGTCATGACAAAATAATATTTAAAGATACAACACACTCAAGCTATAAAGTGCAATCAAACATAACAGTTTAAAAAAAGATATAATTTAAATGATATGGAAAGTATGTTTTTATGTAACACACAGGCTATTAATATTAATGTTGATAAAACACTTAGCAAGGGCAAGCACTCTCAATGCATTTAATAATTCGGTACAACCAGATCTATAAACCAAACACTACACCAAAAACTATCAAACACAATTAATATAGACTAAGGCAGTGACATTCATCCTATTTTCTTTACAAACAAGTAGTTTTTTTTTAAAATACCATCTTTTCAATAAGTAGGTTCAACCTTGAACCTATAAGTAGGTTCAACCTTGAACCTACTGCAGTCACAACTAGTCAACCCTTCCACCATTCTATAAACAAAATCAAACCAACCCTCTTTACCCTGTCTCAAGGACCCCTGAAAGCAATACAAAAATTAGCCAAGTTACATAACTCTTTTAGACCTGAGTTAATTAGCCAAGTTACACAACCCTTTTTGATCTGAGTCAATAGGGCAGAAGAAGTAGAGTTTGTTATTTTCTGTGACCTCAATGTATAAGCAGATGGTGTGGTCAGTTCTATGTCCATCTGCCTTTATTTTCCTCAATGTCAGTTCAGATACCCATCACAGCTAGGTGTACTCAGGAATGTCTTTTAGGATTTAAGTCCTGGAACTGAACTTCATTTTAAAAAGTCATGTGCTTTGGCTTTAGAGCTTGTTTTTTTTTTAATACTCGAATAAACTTTCTCTTTCAAAATTTTCTTTAAAAAAAAATTGACAAAATTATGTTAAAAAAATAAAAGGAAATACAAATTTTAAAGAAAGTAATAGAATAATTTTTATATACCTTGTTTTATAGGCCTACCCATACAATAGTGTAGTTTTTGTAACATGATTAAACTTTTAGTAAAGGCTATACGGAAATAAAACTTCAATGATAAGCAAATGACAAACTTCAGATCAAATCTGCAGAAACATCCCTTTCCATTTTTAGCAACAAACAGTAATTTATGTTATGTTTTAAGGTCACAAATTAAATAAAAAATCAGCAGAGAAAAAAAGATTTTTAAAAAAATTGACGATGTGTATTTATATACACAATTTCATGAGATTTTTGAAATAACAAAAATATGTACAAGACAATTTATATAGAAGAAGCACATTAAGTTTATAATTAACAATATCATTTGTAATTATATGTATGTATTCATATGTATTTAAATATAGATATGTATATTTAAAGATATATATATATATTTAAATATGTATGTATATTTAAATATATATATTTAAAGAGATTTATATATCTAAATATATATCTATATTTATATATATATATCTTTAAATTTATAAATATATCTTGAAATATATATATATATATATATATATATATATATATATATATATATATATATATATATATATAACATTTACAATATATATATAATGCAATAAATATACATATATATACAAAACTGATGGAATTTGTACAAGTTATAAATAAATAATTTGTTATCCAGTTCCACCAGAAACTGTGAACTAGAGGAGGGAAACATTTTCTGATCCTTGTAACGTTTCGCTGGCTTTTCCCCAACCAGCTTTTTCATATTTCCAAACAGTTCTCTTTTAACAGTTTTAATCTATAAATTACATTCTGCAGGGCATCATTTGTAGGGGAGCAGAGCCTGGCTGAGCCAGTAGAACAGGCACTGTAGCATTATACTGGACCATCGCCTGCCTCTGACTTGACTGAATCCCCAACAACAGTATAAAGGCAGGATTCTTGGCGTTCTCAGAACAGAGAAAAAAACACAAAGAGTGAAACACAATAAATACCAGACCAGCTTGTTCAAACCTGAACTAGATCAAACCACGCCAAGTCTAATATCTACACCCTCGATAGACAAAGACCTAATCCAAACTTGAGAATGAATTCAGCCCGAAATCGTAATTATATCCACAAAGCTCCATGTCTCTGTCCATTAGTCATCCACATAATATAATATCAACATATAATCACAAAGTAAGTCCAGCTGCTTTTTTTTAGTTTTAACTAGAAATTCAACGGCCACCTGGCCAGCTTGTTCACATAAGCCAAAGAGGCAACCATGAGTAGCACATGGATTTCAAGAGAGGGGGCTACAGGTGTCTAGAGACTCATCAAGTTGAGAACCCCTCCCCTTCCTCCTCATCACAGCATCGACAAATTTTACACTTGCAGCACAGGATGCAAGGGGCGGCCAACAGCAAGAAAGGGGATGCAACCAACAGCAGTACACCAAACCCAGCAAAAATACCAACCACCTGCAACAAGACAGAACAAGTTAACTTAGAGACTGGCCTAAGATTTGACATCACTATACTGAGATTAACTTACGACTTATTTTGTAATGAACATAGACAGGAATCTGATTTAACTGTTTAATATGTTTACTGTTTCTCTTAAAAAATTCTATTTATAAGATGTATTAAAAAAAAACAGATAGCCTAAATATGGTGGTTATATTTTCTAAAATTTTTTTTTTATTTCTATAACTACCACACACAGTACAATTTAATAAACACTTTAAAGAAACCTAAAATGTTACATTTAAATAACTTTGACCCTTTACCAGAATTCAATTAAAAATGTTAGCCAGGTTTTACTTTGAGATAAATATATTATCCAGTCTAAAAGACAAGAGAGCTAGTTCTAACTTTAAGTTAAATTTATTATACAGTATTTAAAAGAATATTGAGCTACACCTAGAATGTTTATCAGTTTTTACTTAAAATTAAATTTATTATCCAGTATTTAAAAAGACCAGAGAGCGCCACCTAGAATGTTTGCCAGTTTTTACCTGGGTTCTGTGCCAAATAACAGAGGCTCTAGAGTGACCAAGTTTATTCTTACAGGGCCCCTTGTCATAGTGGCGAAGAAGGAAGTCGTCCTGCCAGAGAAACAAACATGATTGAATGTATTGTAATTTTATTTTTACTGCATTAAACTATTCCTGCCAGAGAAACAAACATGATTGAATGTATTGTAATTTTATTTTTACTGCATTAAACTATTCCTGCCAGAGAAACAAACATGATAGAATGTATTGTAATTTTATTTTTACTGCATTAAACTATTCCTGTATTATTCCACCAAGTGATTTTTTAAAATGTTGACATGTACATTTTTACTGCCAACCTTTAAAAATAACTAATTGCACACACCATAAATGTACATCTTGTAAAGGCAATTGCTGACAAATAATTACTAACACTAAAAAAAATGTAATTTACATCCCATCTACAGATATCTGAAGACACGCTAGCACCAAGATATTTTGCTATTCATTACATCAAAAGACTGCCACCATTACATCAGAACTTACAATAAAAGACTACCACCATTATGCCAGAATTTACTACCACCATTAATTACATCTATAGACCACCATTACTTACATCTAAAGACTACCACCATTACTTACATCTAAAGACTACCACCACCATTACTTACATCTAAAGACTACCACCATTACTTACATCTAAAGACTACCACCACCAGTACTTACATCTAAAGACTACCACCACCATTACTTACATCTAAAGACTACCACCACCATTACTTACATCTAAAGACTACCACCACCAGTACTTACATCTAAAGACTACCACCACCATTACTTACATCTAAAGACTACCACCACCATTACTTACATCTAAAGACTACCACCACCATTACTTACATCTAAAGACTACCACCACCAGTACTTACATCTAAAGACTACCACCACCATTACTTACATCTAAAGACTACCACCACCATTACTTACATCTAAAGACTACCACCACCAGTACTTACATCTAAAGACTACCACCACCATTACTTACATCTAAAGACTACCACCACCATTACTTACATCTAAAGACTACCACCACCAGTACTTACATCTAAAGACTACCACCACCATTACTTACATCTAAAGACTACCACCATTACTTACATCTAAAGACTACCACCACCATTACTTACATCTAAAGACTGCAGACAGTACCAGCAGAAGACATGCTTACACCGCTTACACATCATCTGTGCGCAGCCATCGTTGCGTTCAATGGGTACATGACACACTGGACACCTTTTTATCTTGGCGTCGTCGGTGTTGTGGAAAGGGATACTAAAAATAGATAAAACAAAATTGATTTTAAAACTATTTTTCATTAACTTTTTTTATCACATTATTTTAGTGTGATCTATGTTGTGGAAAAGGATTCTTAAAATTTATAAAAGAAAATTGATTTATTTGTAATGACTTCTTTAAATCACATGATCTTAAAATATGGGACGGCATAGGCTAATAGTAGAGTGTTTGTCTGATAACCCAAAAAGCCTGGCTAGAGTCATAGCACGTCTCCGAGTCCACTTAACTCTGATGGGTACCTGACTTATGTTAGGGAAAAAAGTGTCTGGGCATAGTACAGACATTATCTCTTCATATGCGGAGGTCACAGAAACAAGTACATTTTAGTTTGTTTAAATCTGGTGATTAGAATAGCCATTTTCTTACCCTAATTCCTCTAAATGTGCCGATTTAGAATAGCCATTTTCTTACCCTAATTCATCTAAATGTGCCGATTTAGAATAGCCATTTTCTTACCCTAATTCATCTAAATGGGCTGATTGGAATAGCCATTTTCTTACCCTAATTCCTCTAAAGGCGCTGACGTGACAACTTCATCACATGATTTTGAGGCGTGCCACTTTGACTTGCATATGGAACAGAACTGGAGACCACACTAGAAGAGAGAGAAAAACATAAGTTTGTCAGTATATGAGCAACTTGACACATTCCTACATGGGCACAGATGTGTGTTTATATGAAAATCTTGAGACATTCCTACATGGGGCACATGTGTACATGAGAAACTTGACTCATTCCTACATGGGGCACAGATATGTTTATATGAAGAACTTGACACATTCCTACATGGGGCATAAATGTATACATGCGTTCCCAGAAAAATGCCCTATCGGAAAAACCGGGCAACAGAAAACTGCACAAACAAAAAAGTGGGCAAATACAAACTAATCATACTAATACACTTTAATTTTGTCATATTTCATGGAAATGTTTTATTATGCTATAATATACATGTGGTCATTCTTGTTAATGTCTATAAATGCTCAAATTAAGAAAACAAAAATGCCCTTAGGCACTTTTTTTTGTGCAAAGTTTTTGTAGTGCATCTTTTCAGTCACCATAAATATGATAAGCTCCACGCATTTATATAAAGGGAATATTTGTATTTATATGAGAAGCAGGACAAATTCCTTCGTGGGTTACTGACGTCTAAATGAGAAACTTGACACATTCCTACATGGAACACAACAGTCTCATCTGAATACATCCCAGAGAGAGCCATGCCCCACCCCCCACAATGTTGACGCTGGCCAAACTTACCGTAGGACACATGACAGGTATGGCAGCAGACATGGACGATGTGGCCCCCCCACCCAGGTGGGTTTGTGACGAGCAGACATGGCACACAGTCTCACAGCCTATTTCTGGACAGAATGTCCTGTAGGGGTCAAGGTCAACCTCTGTAAACGGAAGAAGAAAATTGGAAGTTATTAAATAATTTGAAATAAAAACTTCATAACAGATTCTTCTCAATCTGCACATTTGACCTATAATCCAGTTATTTGTATATACTTTAAATTAAATAATAATGTCAACACTTGTCAACAAAGAAAAATTAAATAGATTTTAGTCCATTAAAATTATTTTTTCCCTTTTAAAATGATAATTGTGTAATTAGTGTTTATAGGCATCAAGCTGAAGTTGTAACAAAGTGAGAAAGTAGAGCTCATGTTTCTTGACTTCGGCATGGGTGAAAGGTTAATGTGTTCAGCACTAAGCCCAGCCACCTTTACTTTCACTAACATGAGTAAGGTAGCCATCAGAGCTGAGTGGACTCAGGGACATTCTACTGACTCAAAACTGGATTTGAACTCGAGACTTTTGGGTAAGTGGTCTAGTGCTCTATCTCTAAGCCAAGCTGTGAGTGAGTAGTGTTTGTATAAAATTCTAACAGACCAGTGAGTACAGTTTTTGTAACACTCTAAGATACCAGCTGTCCCAGTTAGTTTAATATACACACAAACATTTAATTGTAATAGCAGCCCAGGTTCTTCACTTCTATTGAGTGACCATCAGAACTTACCTCGTTGGAAATGTAGGCGCTTGTATCGTAGAAATGTCTGTCTGTCTACAAGCTTCTCTATCTGTCATGGAGGGAAAAAAAAGCATGAAATTAATGAATTAATTTAAACAGAACTTAATTGAAAACATTCAGACAAAGTTGTTTATAGATTATATATATATATATATATATATATATATATTTTTTTTTTTCATTTCCTATTACCATTATATATATATATATATATATTATATATATATATTATATATATATATATATATATTATATATATATATTATATATATATATATATATATTATATATATATATTATATATATATATATATATATTATATATATATATATATATATTATATATATATATTATATATATATATATATATATTATATATATATATTATATATATATATATATATATTATATATATATATTATATATATATATATATATATTATATATATATATTATATATATATATATATATATATATATATATATATTATATATATATATATTATATATATATATATTATATATATATATATATATATATATATATAAAATGGTAATAGGAAATGAAAAAAAAAAAATCATTATTGTTTTGTAGGATCCAGTTATAGTTGATGATTAAACTAAAATGGAACTCCAAAGAGCTAAAACGAGATTTCGTAATCTGAAATAGCATTTTATTTTTATTGAAATCTGAGGGTCTTTTTTTTTATATCTGGGTGAGAAGATGAACTCTACTTCATCTGTTCTATTACTGAATGTGCCAATGTTCGGGGCTGTTTAATGTTTTTTAATCAACTTTCCTAGGGTTGTCACCTTAAGTTTTTATTTTAAAAAAAAACTCACCATTATTTAAGGGGGGAAAAAGCACTAAAAAACCATGTTTAAAAAAAAACCTCAATAAAATCAAGATAGAAAAGAAATGTTCAAAGCAATGAACCTCAAGCACTGGATATTGATTTTCATCCCAACCCTTGCTGGTTTTCTATTTATAATCAGTTTTTAAATGTCAGTTGGCTGACAATATAAGCGCAATGCCATTATTCACAGCTAAGCTTCCTATTATTTGTGCACTAATTTTTTTTTAACTCAAGTTCTTCAATGCTTGCTGTAGTGAAGTTAGTGTCAGGTACCTTGTCCACACCTGGAGATCAATAGTGTGGATGAAGTAGAGTTCATGTTTATGGAGCAATATTGTATAAAAGGATAGTGTGGCCATTACCATCCTCAGATTTCTTTTCTTTTCTTATTCTAATTTAAGCCAGGTACTTGTTAGAGCTGGGTGTCTCATAGACTCAAAAACAGCACATAAGATAATCATTTAAGAAATGTTGACCGCTTGACCCCACAGCCCTTCTGACATGACCTCAGGATTTTTGTCCAAAAATTATTCCATGTATGGAAAACTATGTGTAGCTGTCCCTAACATTGTATACCAAGTCAAGTAGTATGCAAATTATGACATGTACACAAATATGCATGTCATAATAGAGTTAAATTTCAGATAAACCTTATTTAAAACATGCAATTCTGGATTGCTTTTAATTTTTTACTTTGTATTAGAAAGAAGCAACTTATTTAAAGAATACACAATTCAGAAGCCTTCTAGAAAATAATTAAATATTTGTTTCAAATATTTCACCAAAATAAGTCCACAGTAGCTTTAAGTTCATTTTGAAAGTTGAAAATGTAAAGCAATAAAAAACAACTTAGTTCTTAAACTGTAAAAAGATATGTCCGAGTACAATAAGATGACCCTACAAGTTGACCACAGCCATCAAAGTCTCTAACAATGTATCAAAGTTTCTCACCTCATCTGTTGTGACTGTCCCTTGCTTCCTACACTGGGCGTCTGGGCAGGTTATGTCAGTCACCATACCCTCAGCTATCATCACACATAGATACTGCTTCATGCACTGGGAATACAAGCAGTTCATTGGGTAATTTTAAACCTAAGCAGATATCAGCTCTAAACTATTATACTGCTGGGAATACAAGCAATTCATTGGGTAATTTTAAACCTTAACAGATATCAGCTTTAAACTATCATACTTGTGTAATTTGACATTAAATAAGTCATGTCTGTGAATATTTTAGAGCTTCTATTAAATATTAAAAACAGTTTTAAGCTAATTTGGAGAGCTATTCCTGTAATTCTGTTCACTATTATAAATAATTCCAACACAAAGATGCTTTAAAAAACAAATTTTAACTAATGCTTTCAGAAGTTTTAATAGCAAAGTTTTTATTTTACTATAGCTTAATAGCAATGTAAGTAGATCAACAGACCTACGTTAAAAATGTTTTTATTATCAAGGAACATTTTTCTTCACTCGGAGTGATTTCAAAATAATTTTTTTAATAAAGCCAGTTTTTCCTTAGGCGCTTTTAATTTTTCTAAATTTTGTATGTCATTGTTATTTCAAACATGGAGTTATAATAATGATGGTTTTCCATCCATCTAAAGATATTTCAAAGGACTAAGTTACAAACTTGTTTTGTGCTAGCAACTAAAGATGATGTCATAACATCAGGAGAAGATGTGTGACAAGAAAATGTGACAAGATGTGACAAACTACTCTTGTCCTAGCAACTAGTGACAATGTCACAACTTTAGGAGATGATGTGTGACAGGATCATGTTACAACATCAGATGACGTGTAACAGATCAGATTATGTGAAACAAGATCATGTTACAACATCAGATGATGTGTGACAAGATCATGTTACAACATCAGATGATGTGTGACAGGATCATGTTACAACATCAGATGATGTGTGACAGGATCATGTTACAACATCAGATGATGTGTGACAAGATCATGTTACAACATCAGATGATGTGTGACAGATCATGTTACAACATCAGATGATGTATGACAGGATCCTGTTACAACATCAGATGATGTGTGACAGGATAAGATACAACTAAACTGTTGTACTGCCTCCAGCTTTTAACCAGAGATGTGCTGTATAATTTATTTCACTCTGCTCTCTACAGTATAATGTAATCAATATATTTCATGTTTTATGTTTATGGTAATTAAACCCTCGCACAAAGCAAATACATTTTTCCCTAACATTTTCATTTTTTCTAGAGTTATTAACCTGAGTTTTTAAACAGTTATCTTAACCATAATGCAAAGTGGTTTTATCCACACAAAACATTATACATGTGTATATACACACACATATATATATATATATATATATATATATATATATATATATATATATATATATATATATATATATATATGGACAGACAGACAGACAGATATACACACACACAAAACCATTGTACTCACCATTTCACAGAAGAGGCACTTGCATTCAAAGAGCTCATACATGTCTTCCAACGGACACTCAGACAGGCAGAGCTTGCACAGGATCAAGGGGTCAATGGCCAGGTCCACGGTGTTCCTGGACACGCTGTAGGCGGCCATCTTTTGTCCTGAAACACACAAGGAGGGTCGCATGAGATTACAGTCCCCACAGGTGAGACATTCACCACAGTCATCATGTGGTGGTTGATGGCGAGGTAAAAAAAAAAAATTCCAATTGAAATACCTGTAGTATCAGTTGTGGAACTATAGCCCAGTTTAAGTGTACACAGTAAGGGGAATGTGCAAGCACTACAGCTAACAGGGAAACAGAAAGTTTGCCAAAGACAAGATACTTTACTCTTCAGAGGGGGAGGGGGGTGGAGACAGTAGGTAAATACAATGGTAGTGATGTCAGATATGGGTATATACTATGGTAGTGATGTCCCATAGAAAGATATACAATGAGAGTGATGTCCCATAGAAAGATATACAATAGTAGTGATGTCCCATAGAAAGATATACAATGAGAGTGATGTCCCATAGAAAGATATACAATGGTAGTGATGTCCCATAGAAAGATATACAATGGTAGTGATGTCCCATAGAAAGATATACAATGAGAGTGATGTCCCATAGAAAGATATACAATGGTAGTGATGTCCCATAGAAAGATATACAATGGTAGTGATGTCCCATAGAAAGATATACAATGGTAGTGATGTCCCTATAGAAAGATATACAATGGTAGTGATGTCCCATAGAAAGATATACAATGGTAGTGATGTCCCATAGAAACATATGCAATAGTAGTGATGTCAGATATATAGATATACAATGGTGGTGATGTTTATCAAAATGGAAATATTATGCAACTGATGTTTGAAGTGACAGGTATAGAGAAATAGAAAGTATAGAGTATAGTACATGAATGTACAGTAGGGCCCACATGAATGTAAAGTTACTTGAACGTATAGTACATGTAACACCAGATCATTGATTGCAAATTTCCATCCTATTATGGTAAGCAGCCTGCACTATAAAACCAGTCAGCACATGAAACGAATTACTCTCGGTACAGCATTAGTTGGACTCTGTGTGTGTGTGTGTGTGTGTGTGTGTGTACTTATTGCGTGCGTAGATGCGCTAATTGCCCGTGTGTGTGTGTGTACTTATTGCGTGCGTAGATGCGCTAATTGCCTGTGTGTGTGTGTGTTCGAAAAGGCTTAGTTTCATCACATCACAACAACAACAACAAAAAATAAAACATGAGCTGGCAATAATGGGCGCCCCACCGTCCGGAAATTTCCGCTATTAATTCGGAAAGCGGAAATTAACTTTAGAAATGTGAAGCGGCGCTTGCAACTGCATACAATAATAAACAGTATCACTCGTCAGATTGTAAAAAAACAACTAATTTGAAACAGCAATTAACGTTGTATTATTTATGTATGAAACTATTTAAAACGGCATCTTTAGCATCGTGTTTGAGGTGTTTATAAAAAAAAAAGGGGGGGGGGGGGGGGTCCGCGTGTTGAAAATGGACTGTAGTCATTCCGGGAAATACACATGTAATATGTAATGCGAAATACGTCACAGACAAAGATGACGGTTGTAATAAAACTGAAGGGGATTGGGGGGGGGGGGGGGATGTTTTGAGAATTGTGTTTGTTTACATATTTACACAAAATGCCTAAAATTTTGACACATGGTTTTAAAAAAAAAACTTTCAAAGTTTACACACGTGTCTAAACGTTTGAAATGTTTACAGTAAAAAAAAAGTCATTACATGTCGATCATTCAGAAAGCGAATACCACTTTATAATGTTACCACCATTTCTATATCATGACCTCCATTTAATAAGCCTCCACTTTATATAATGACCTCCATTTAATAAGCCTCCACTTTATATCATGACCTCCATTTAATAAGCCTCCACTTTATATCATGACCTCCATTTAATAAGCCTCCACTTTATATCATGACCTCCATTTAATAAGCCTCCACTTTATATCATGACCTCCATTTAATAAGCCTCCACTTTATATCATGACCTCCATTTAATAAGCCTCCACTTTATATCATGACCTCCATTTAATAAGCCTCCACTTTATATCATGACCTCCATTTAATAAGCCTCCACTTTATATCATGACCTCCATTTAATAAGCCCCCACTTTATATCATGACCTCCATTTAATAAGCCCCCACTTTATATCATGACCTCCATTTAATAAGCCTCCACTTTATATCATGACCTCCATTTAATAAGCCCCCACTTTATATCATGACCTCCATTTAATAAGCCCCCACTTTATATCATGACCTCCATTTAATAAGCCTCCACTTTATATCATGACCCCCATTTCATAACGTGACCATTTTTTTTAATGTGACCACAATTTTATAACGTTATCACTTCTTCAAAACGTGACTCCTATTTTACGTGATCACTACTTCAGATCGTGACCATCATTTCAAAACGTGATCCCTCACTTTATAACGTGACCACCATTTCATAACTTGACCACCATTTTTATACTGTGACCTTCAATTTATAAAGAAACTACCATTTTATACGGTGACCCCCATTTCATAACGTGACCCCCCCCCCAACTTTATAACCTGACAACTATTTCATAGCTTTAAAAACATTTCAGAACGTGACAACCACTTCAAAACGTGACAACCACTTCAAAACGTGATCGGCACTTCACCACGTGACCAAAACTGCCGAGCGCCAACACTTCAAAACGTGACCAGCACCCCAGAAAGGTCAATTACCTCCAGTCCACCATTCTTCTACGTGAAAGAGGAGGAAGCGTCTAGCCCACAGTCCAACAAACATCGGCCATTACCACGGTGGTCTCTAGTCATTCAAGCCAACCAATGGCCAACCCAGCTCACGTCAGGTCAGCGTGACCCAGCTCACGTCAGGTCAGCGTGACCCAGACGATGATTGTCTTCATTTCAGACAAAGTGAATTCTGATTCCCTTCCGGGCTTAAATCTTCAAGAGTCCCCCTTCAGGAATAACAAAGTTGATTCCTTCCGAGCCTACAACTTTGGTTTCACTTCGGGAATAACAAAGTGAATTCTGATTCTCTTACCCGGCCTTCAACTTTAGAGTCTCACTTTAGGAATGCCAAAGTGAATTCTGATTCTCTTACTGGGCCTAAATCTTCACGAGTCTCACCTCAAGAATGCCAAAGTAAGTTCTGATTCCCTTCCGTGCCTACAATTTTAGAGTCTCACTTCAGTAATGCCAAAGTTAAATCCGATTCCCAAGACAAAATGAATTCTGATTCCATTTTCAGGTATACAGCTTCAAAATCTCACATCAGGAATGACAAAGTGAATTCAGCTGACAAGTCTCACTTAAAGACTCCCCCATCATCATACACAGAGCATCAGTTGAAATCAACGCCAGTTTTCTTGCTGAAAACCTTTACGCGGTTTTAAAAATCTCTTTTTTTTTTTCAAAATCTATAAGTATATAACACAGGAACTCGGATAAAAGCTAAGAAAAAAAACAACGAACAGAAACAGGCAACAGATAGATACAATTTGGCATAATCACTACTAATTAGATGATCACTCACAACCCAACCAAAAAAAATATTTCTTAGTGTAAAAAAAACCAACTCGGTTTTTACAAGCCATCGGTAAAATGATACAAGTTAATTTAAACAAGGCATAACTAAAATAGAAAGAAGAAATAGATCTATTAAACATTCTATTTTTAATCAAAACCACGGAGTCTACAGCTAACCTTACCAGTTGAGTCGACCATCAAGTCCATATCCAACACGCAATGGTTCAGGTTATTGTTAATATTCCTTGAATTGATGCTGGACTTAGTACTGCTCCTATTACCAGCGCTAGTGTTAAAATTGGTCTTATTCCCACTGGTCAGGGTATAATTGGTCATCAAGTCCAAGTCAATGTAACACTCCGACATCATGGTGAACGTTGCTTCAATGCCGGTGTTGTTGTTGTAAAGATGGGAGATCAGCCAAGTGCTCACCTAGACCACGCGCCACGTGAAGCTGTGTCCACGAGATGGTTGACACGCCATCCGACGACTCCCTCAAGACTTCTGCTGCCCGGTTCACGGTGAGCGCCAATCCGGCACACGACCGACGGGCCAATCAACGAGGTCGCTAAAACTGCACGCGGGCGAAGTCTTTTGGAGGAGGAATCAAAATTAATACCTGACGGCCCGCGTCGTTACACTCGCTGCCACATCGGCCTGACATGTCACTGTCACGACAGCTGACATTCATTGTCACGACAGCGGCACAGTGAGATGACACTTGTCAGTTTGTTATGACATTGGCACAGTGAAATGAGTCACCGCCATATTGGCATAACACTGCCACAGTAAAAAGACATTTGTCATATGACACCACCACAGTGAAATGGCACTTGTCTTGTTGGCATGACACTACCACAGTAAAAAGACTGTTGTCATATGACACTAGCAGAGTGAAATGACACTTGTCATATTGGCATGACACTAATAGAGTGAGATGACACCCACTGTCAGTGGCAAGGAACTCGCTGCCACACCGACTAGACACTGCCGTACTAGCTTGCTTCTCACTCACACAATGTCACTCACTACCAGTCATGACACTACCTATAAACTACCAGATAGTCAATGCGCTACCACGACACTCACTACCAGATAGTCATATACTACCATGACACCACTACCAGATAGTCATTACACTACCATGACACTACCAGACACCCAATACACTACTTCGACACTCACTGTCACAATACTAACTACCAGCCCCACTATCACACTACTAACTACCAGCCCCATGTCGCTTCCAACATCGGCACCACGATAATACAATTACGTGAGGCATTAGCCAGCCACCAACGTGGACTGAAAGAACTGCATCAAAACAAGGCTATAAACAGGGGAATCAAAGCCGATAGGAGAGCGTGAAAGATTTCTAATGAGCTGTTATTGTCTAGAGTTTCCTTGACCTTTCCAATAGTTATTGGGAATTCCGAGAAAAACACGTCAATAATGGAGATGGTTGTAATCTCACGGAAATCGTGGTAGGGGGCGGGGTTAGCGGGGTAGGGTGTAATGTGTTGATGTACTGTAAACTTTCAAGGATAAAAAGGATACATAGTTAATGGACTAGGACAGAGTTTCTTCCAGGCATCTCTTCCCCCCCCCCCCGAAAATTTTTTACCGCCCCCCCCCCCCCCCCCCGAACGAAATGAAATTTATATAATTTATATAGAAAATATATACTTTTAACAGTGTCCGCCCCCCGAAGAAAGTTTACCGCCCCCCCCCCCCCGAAAATTTCAAGTGCCCCCCCCCCCCCCGGAGAAAAAAGTCTGGAAGAAACACTGGACTAGGATGAGTGGGATAGTTGTTGATGTCATGTATTCTTAATTTAAGGATAAAAGAGAACACACAGATAATGTACTAGAGGATAATTGTTGATGTAGAGTTTTAATGATACAACTTTTCAACCATTAAGTCGGAGAGGGGCAAACTAATTTATCTTAAAACATAATTAGTAGTATATACTGTTCTCTGTATGGCGGGGTCGGGAGTGAGAGCGTGGGGTTATCTACTCCAAACAGTCCCGAGTTCGGACCCCCCCCCCCCCCCCCCCCCCGCGGGGCAGGTAGGGTTCGTCAGCCGGCAACAGGGTCGGCGTGGTCGAGTCGGTAAAGCACATGGTTGCTGAATCGAAAAGTCTCGAGTTCGAACCCTCGGGCAGATGAGGCTCGTTAGCTGGGGACAGCCACTCTTCTAGGAGAGACAACTCCAAAATTAAACAACTGCTGCCTTGTAGTTTGTTCTTGGTTTGACAAAGGCTATGGAAGCAAATCCAAAAAGAAAAGCAGGCTGAAATCGGAGTCAATGGCCTCAATGGCGCATAACCAGTTGACACGTTACGCTTAATTGTGTTGGAGGCGTGGTCGAGTCGGCAAAAAGCTCATGGTTGATAAATTCGAACAAAGTCTCGAGTTCAAACCCACTGGCAGATAAATCTCGATCCTCTTCAACACTAATAATTAAGAACGAAGAAGAAGAGCCGGCAACAGCAAGCCATCTAGTAGAGAACACTCCAAAATCAAACAACTGCTGCCTTTAAGTCTAGCAATAGAATGAAAACTACGCATGCTGCGGCGCATTGCTGATTCATATATAACATATTTTAATAGTATAACTGCGGAATAGTTACACCACTGCACGTAATAACTATGTTGGATGAAATCCCTTTAATACAATACAAAGAAAAAAACCAATGCGATTTAATTTGAATGCCATGTCTCATTTCTTCTCCTGTAAGGTAGAACAAAGTACCTACCCCATATCACCTGTAGCCTGTACTGATATGCCCCCCCCCCCCCATCGTCTACCGTTACCAGACGGTATCCAGACATACCGATAATACCAGGTGATTTTTATTCCAAAAATAATGAGACCCGCAAATGTCAACTACAACAAGCCCTTGAATAATGGACCACAAAAAAAATGGGGTAAAAAAAAAACCAATAACTTAAAGACAGAAGCACTGAGCTTGTGAAAATGTACAAGCACTGAAGTGAAGGGTCTAGACCGGGAATTCCCAGACTACTAGTGAAAGTGGTAAAAAAAAAAAATCTAATTCAACCAAAAAAGACAAAGGTCAATACATAAAATCCGAAACGTTTGGGGATAAACACAGAGACTTAAAATGCCGGTCTGGAAAAAAAAAAGAATAGTAATTACCGCAGCATTTGGTTCAAACTTTAAAAAGAACAAAAATATTTTAAAACATTGTATAACATCATCTTAGGATGAAATAAACAAATAAACACTAGGCCTGTCCAATCTTGATGTCTTAGGATGACTTAGGTCTCAGTTTTAAAATAAATAAAATTAAAAAAAAACCCACCAAAGTTTGACCATGAGTTGAGCCCCCAGTAACGAACTTAATCTGTCTCTAGACGGTGTTCCTAGCCAGATAAATTTTTATCGAAACAGGTCAAATTGTTCACACTTTAATTTTAATCCTTACCCGGGGCGGGATAAAAAAAAAAGGTGTCGAATATTTTACATAAAAAAAAAACTAAATACAATTGTTACTTGTTTTTTTTTTATCAGCCCCATATTGTCCACTTTCATATCAACATAGTGACTACACTCATATCAACATATTGCCCACGCTCATAACATAGTGACTACGCTCATATCAACATGGTAACTACGCTTCATAACATTGTGTTTGGTGGTAGATAGTACATAAGGAGAACATACATAAAAACCTCAGTAATTAGAGGGTTATAATAGGTAGTCCAAACTGGCGAAAAAGTGCGTTTTAGGGTCAGTTTTTGCGGTTTTCAAAAATAAAATTTCACTACTTCTAGTTGTCCTATAAGAATAAAAATTATATGTCAATAAAGTTTAAGCCTTTATCTGTCGTAATCTGGTATTTGTATATCTGTAACATATGTTTGAATGTGTTTTATATTTGTTTGAAAAGTATCAGTTACGTCAACAAATTTCACCGTTTTGCGTGTACCGATCGACCCCACACTGTTTCATTTGGTTGCGGCTTCGCGACGAAGCATCGTAGAAGCATAATCTTAATGTCATTTTGAAGAGCGAATTCTAGTCTATCGTTTGTTGTATAAATTGAAAAAATAACTTGCTTATTTCATTTTAAAAAATCAGTTTTTAAAATTTAAATGACGATATATACACGAAAACAAACTAATTCTTTTTCAATCTTTACACCGATGTACAGTTCACTTTTATAACTACTTTGTGTTGTAAATTCAAGTCTTTCTGATTTACGGTCGCGAAGCCGTACCCTCAATAAGCATATAACCCTCGAGTCAACTTTCAGCCCCGAGTCAGTTGCTCGCCGAACGGTTTTAAAGGTTGACGACCGATGATGCTAAACGGATTTTACCCTTGCTAGAGCCTTCAAACAAGTTGTAAGTATCATTTTTAAAGTTTCATTTCCATTTTAATAAATGAATTTTAAGTTTGAATGTCAGTTTGGTTTAATTAGCACACGTTATTAATGTAAATTTGAACCCTACTAGTCCACGGTTTTAGCGTGTGAACTACGCTTGTACACAGGGTGTGTTTAAACTTGAAGCTATTTAATTCAGGACATTCTAGGGACTTAAAATATGGATGCACTTAACTATTAGATGCTAGTGTTTACTAATTCTTTAAAATCTATCGAATGGGATTAATGATAGGGTCGTATTACTACAGTTTATCTGGACTATCGCGTCAAAATTATGAATCGACACATTCAAAATGGCCACCAGACATTCTTGGTTACTATGTGGACGAACTCAATTATTCACAGGGAACGAAGGTTAAATACTTATAAAATATTATTGAAACACAAAAGAAACTTATAATTGTAATAACTATACATTTTTATCAATTTATTTAAAACAAAAGACACTAAAGTTTAAGGACTAATGTGATTAATTTTTAATTTTCTGTTGTGCACTTTGATTCTGATTCCCCTGCTGAATAATGTGAAATGGTCTGCGCCAGTCTCCTTAATAAAATGTACCAGATCAATTTTTAGATGGTGGTGCAATTTAATAAGATTGTACATGTTGTGACTTAGTTTTAAATGTTATATTAGTTGTAAGTGTAAGTAGTACTTCTCATTATTTATTTATTTTATATGCATATATATAGTAACAATGAAGGACAGTTGAGTTGTCCTATATGATGTTGAGAACTACAGTATGGCACCTTCATCATTGGATATCTCAACCATTGTGGCACAAACAACGAATATTTCATTCAATAGAATTAATGTTCAAAATATACTATCAAGTATACATTTCTTTAAACAAACAGGTGTTTTCAGGCTTTTTCATGTTTCCAGCTACAGTCACAGGATAAATAGTAGGCCTACAAAATAGGCTAGTAGTAAATCTAATTATATTTTATTAATCACTAAATCAATTATTTATTCCATAGCTGGAGACATTTATGGTGGCCTATCCAGAACTTTCCTTACAAGGGAAGGGAAG